TCGCGTTTCGCGCGAAAATTCAAGGTTGTCCGGGTTCGAGCCGGACTGTGAACGCAACTCGTAGCGCTAAGTCAAGTCTAAGAAGCAGACTGATACAAAACTTAACGCGGCTTAGAAAGTAGAACTCGAAAGCTTTCCTTGGATGTTTTATAGGCAGGTGAAATAACCGGTCCTAGGTATTAGGTAACAGAATGGAAGTTGAGTACGTTTGTGAAGAAGATGTCGATTATATGTTCGGGTGAACAGTTTATTTGGGATAGTTTATTTACATACATTTTAATTACCCTATAACCCTATTCTTATTCTTGATTACGTTCATTGGTAATGAGTAAGGCAAGCTCATGGAATAGGTTTCTAATCAACAATGGCCTGATTCACATGCACGATTTTCATGTAATAATAAAACAGATTGTGAAGTTACATCGTTGTTATCACTATCGTTAAATTCAATGGATTAATAATATTTTGATACCTCTCTATTTCCTATATTCTGCTGACTTTTCTACGTAAGCGTATCTATTAAATTTGCTGTATGTCCTCTATACCTTCTCTATGTATCTATAACATGCACATAAAAACACGGATTTCTTACTGAAGATATTGTAATTGTATTATTGGCTTTATCAATATTATATCTGTAGTATTTGTTTTTGCCAACTCTTAAGTAAGCGGTAGATCTATTCCATTAGAGTTTCCTCTGCCCACCCGCTTGGGTCGACAGCTAGGATATTATGTATTATTTCGTCTCGATACATTTCAAAGCACCTTACAGATTGGTGCGCTATTTTATTAGACTGGCTAAAAACTAAGCTAGAGCACGATTCCAATATGCCGCAACATTATGCTCCCTGTCGATCTGTTGTTTCTCAGATTTTAACGTCATCCATGAAGATTCTCTGTCTTCCGCTGAGCTCGATCCGTTTTGCCTCCTCGGATCTGTACGAAGGTATTAGGCATTTTACCGACCTTCTAAAAGGGCCTTTGTTGGTAAAAGGGCAGGTGTATAAGCATCCGAGACAAACTGACAAACAAGACTTTTTTTTTGTGAAGTAACGACGATTAAGGACCTCAGATAGGTGTGGTCAATTGCACGGCCACTCGGTTCGGCCAGAAAAAGACTGTTAGACTTGTATCGAGAAAATTAGTACATATAATAGTTAAGGTGAACTTGGCGGTAGACTACATCTTTTAGCGTTATTTGAGGAGAACCAAGAAGTAGGTATGCGGTCAGAGAACAGATCGGTAAACTGGCGATGTTTTGATGATCCTCTAGTCGTAAACTACCTGCTTCGTGAGCTACACAGTAACTGTTTGTTCATCCTATATTGTCATTATGACTAATACGACCAGATGTTACCAACGTAAGTATTTATCTTTTTTTTTTTTTTTTTACTGTACTATAATTTTTTTCTGCCATTGTCGTTCTCCATACAGGTCATCCGGATGTGAGATCTGTAATCAACGAAGGTATTCCATTGATGATAGGTAGTTCCTATCTTCTATACCCCATGAATGTTTCCTCCTGTGCTTACCCCCTGCATTCTTTCTTTCAGTTTGACTCATCATTTTTATGCGTTCTATATCTTAGTCTCGTCATTTCTTTACAATGCATTTTACGATAATTATCCTGCTCCATACTACTCGAACACAGGACAGGGGTTTGTTAAGGTACGCAGTAAATGGTTGGTCCAGCCGCTGGATATGCTATTGCTGTCTGTTTATAATTACCCCCCTTTTACCTTTTGCTCTTTAGTCCCCCCATCCCCCGGCGTTTTGTCAATTGACGATGGTTACAAAAATATTCCTGAAAGCATTTTCGTTCCCCAACCCCTCTTGCCTCGTGCGACGCCCGTGTCTTCTGTCTCTCTGTCTTCCCCTGCCGTTTAGCAAAAACGGTCATATATCCGTAAATGTCGCAGAAGCAATGGTTGTAAGTACTTTTCTGGTGTTTTTTTTATGGCCTGTTCAGCGAAAGCGATACAGGATCGAGGGCACCATAACTCGATTTAATCTGCGATGAGTATCGATTATAGGTCGACTTACGCATGTTCTCTATTAATAAGAATGTTATATTGCTATAATAATTATATATTCGTTAGCTAGATTGAATATAGTGCAACTATATAAAATCCCTCGATCGGCCGAGCTCTTGCAGTGTCCCTTATAGGCGCACAGAATGGCTCTTTGATCCAGTGGTGAGATTTGGAAACGAAATGAATATGATAAATTGTGTGAGGATCATGGCAGTTACATGGTCAAAGTGATCCCACTTTGATCCATGCCACAATTTGGGAAACTTTCCAGATATGAATAGCTTTGATTGTGAAAGGTCGTCAAGTTAGGATGAAATAGCAGATTTAACTTCGATTATGCGAGTCATTGTGTGTGTATCAGTAATAAAACTGCTGAAGTAAAAGCGCTGGATGAATATACATACGCCAAAATTGTACTTCATCTGAACTATCGTTTTGACGCTTCTCATCATTATGTTTCAGCCTCCGCTTTGTTTGCTCGTATTTGTCCCTCTATGGGCACTCAGTTGCATTGGTCATCTCGCTTGCGTTATGTCACGTAATGAATAGTATTATCAGTAATATATTATTATTGTTATCGTAGATGCTACTACAGCTGTGAAGTTTCCTTTTGCTTCCTTCGCCAGAAGCGGAGTTGCTTCGTCATGATGCTCGCCCTGTCTTTCATATGTGGGATAAGGTCTACCGTTAGTGGAGGCCCATGTGCCCCTTCATTTTAGAGAGGTTAAAAAAATCGCTGTTTTATCGTCTGAACATCGATTGTCAGTTAACAAAGTATATCGTCTTCGTCTAACCTAGGGATAATTAGAGCGGGCGATCCTTTCTCTCGTGTTTATTTTGCTTCTCCGAATTAGTTTGTTTTTCTGATGAGAAAAAAGCAGGATTGTCATTTTTGTTGCACAATTAACACGGATGCGTTCGTCCGTTTGTCTTCAACACTTCTACTTGATAATGAAACACTCTATGTAAAATCTCTATGCATCAACAACTGTTATCTAGAGGACCTTGCTCAGCGTTCGAACATCACTCTACCCGAATTTTGTAAATCCATTGCTTAGCAGTAGCTTTTTTGCTGGAAAAGCTATTGAGTATGACGGCAACCTTGAAATCTAGCCGAATTGCCTCACAAAGAAAGGCACACATCTCCATACATATGTGTTCAAAACCAACCAAATTCAACACTTTTCTATATTTGGGTTTTGTTATTTCTTAGCTGGCTTTTGGGCGCGTCGTTCGCAATCAGTTAGTCCGATTAACAGGACAGAGCGTCAAGGAAAATGTATGTGAAAAGTGGCCTAGCAGGGTTACACTAATTAGGAAAGCCACCCTTGCAGTTGATCGATTGCACCGAAACCATTAACCGATACAGCCTTCTTTTCAGTTGTTGGAATATTTTCACCATTTTCATCTCAAGTGACATTTCCAAAACCCTTCCCTCATACTCCCATCGCAAAATCTTGCTGGAATTGTATTTTGATTAGGCACGCTACATTAGTACTTCAATCATTGACAGTTAGCTTTTATAGTTTATACCCAGCTCGTCCTACATCCTTGAATTTGACGTGCAATTCATGTCACTATGTTAAAGATCCAATCAAAAACAATTGCGCAAAAAAAAAACGCGATCTACCGGTGTTGCGCTAGCATCGATGATCTATCTATTTATCTGTAAGCTATCGAACCATCAGTGATTCACTTCTGTGTTATAATGAGTACATTTCTGGCTTAAGATACCACATCGGCGTGTTACTGTGACCCGCAATAAATTTAATTACGCGTAGGAGTTTTATTCCAACCAGTGTGTGTGTATTACAGCGTATACGTTTAGTGCTCCAAAAGGATACCCGTGTTCGTATTTTTTCCATATCCAACTACCCGCGCCTATACCGTCGTAAGGGCAAAACATAGTTGAAGCATACAACAAGTCATCAACGACTGTAGAAAATCGTTTGGCTACGATCTATTTTTATAGTAGCAATTACGGAAAAAGGTTAAGGTATCAGTAATAAAAGCTAGTACACGTTTTTTGTCCACGATTTTAGCAAAGACAAAAAAAAACGAAACAAACAAGACAAATCGCTGCGCTATGCCGGGTATTGCCGAAAGTTTGAACCTTAATGACAATATCCTACTGGCCCAATACGAAACTAACCGATGTCAAGATCTGATGGAAGACAATTGACATCTTCATCATTGGCAGGTGTATATTAAAGACAGGGTCGATTCGAAAAGTCGACTCGACTAGAACTCTTTCCCCTCAAGATTCTTCTATGTCACTAATGTACGTTATAAGTGCTAAGCTCGCGCACACGTCTGTGGAAGACCTGGTCGACATCTATAACTACAATTAATAGAATCGGTAATCTTGGACAAGTGTGTTATAAAAAAATTATTATGCGGGCATTATTGGTCATGACCGATAGATGTCTCTGTAAAGCTATATTCGGCAAGTTAATGTTATACAATAGTAAAAATTCTACAAAGCGTTACGGCATTCGCAAACTCAGTTGAGAGGAATCGAATTATCCGCCTCAAAAGAAGTCGTGATCCGAGGTGTCACTGAGGTATCTCGGACTGGGTGACAGTTCTTCAAGGCCGGTTCTATTCCCTCGAACTGGGAGACGCCTCGTCATCACTGGACTTTCTTTGGGGTCCTTCTCGTTTGATGAGTCCTTGTCTTTAGCCCCTCGCGGCATCGGAGTCGGCTTCTTCGGTTGCGCTGTCGGCTGATGTTGGGAAAATTGTTGCTGTCGATGGGCTATGCTGTTCGAAAAGCTGTTGTTTGGACTGAGACGAGTCGACTGCAGTATTTTGCCGCAATTGCTGGTCTTGCAGTTCGCACCGCTGTTCTGTCTCTGAAACAGGGGTCGTGGGAGGCTCCTGGCCCGAGGATCGGCAATCGTCACTGAATGTGAACTCCTCCGGGTGGAAGGTGGCGTCTGTGGTATCTGGTGGTAAACGATGGTCGAAAACACAACAACAGACAGAATGAACAAGATCAATGCAATATAAGTAAGTCAAAAGGATTTTTCTCGATTCTCTCCGCGGAAGGCATAGGTGCCCTGGATCGGTTAAATTTGATAGAGAGAAAGTGGCGTGTAACGAAGTGACGGGATTTTTTTTGCAGATCTTTTTTGAATCTGTCTCGATAATTGCGATCTTCACAGAATTCCATTGGTGAAGTAACAGTATGCAAGGACAAGTACTGCAGATTTTCTTGGATTGCCGTTTATTGGTAATACTATTTATTTTCATTAGCCGTATTTAATTAGGGTTTAATTGTCGAAAGGAGCATTTGTCTATAGAGTTCGCAAAACATTTCCCATATTTTTCAATGATATTCCGTATACAGGTATTTTGTTTTGCGGAGCAATGATCTTATACGTTATTACGTGAATTTCAAATGATAGATAAAAGTTCATATTGGGAATTAACCAAAAGTTACTATATGCCATCAAATCCTAAGCGTACTTAAGCAGTGAGGCGGTTTTGAGGCACTATTTCCATAAATTCAGCTTCAACACTCAAGCTCGATTTCGTTTACCTCTCATTTCAATATCCATATCTATCGTAACGTTCACTTCTAAAATTGTTATATATTAGACAAGAAAATACATTTGGGTTTTATATATCCTATATACCTATGGCTTATCGTATCATGCGACTGGAAATTATCGTCATCAGGGCAAGCGTAATTAATTCATTAAAACAATTAAAATATCAAAACCAAATAAAAACTCTGCGGATATCATTTCGTTATAGTTACCACATACGAAGGTTCACCGTTTATTTGTTTGTCGGCTTTTTGTAATTTTCACAAGTGAGCAAGTCTATGTCCTCGCAAAAAAAAATATATATATATATTAGTTGTATATATAAATAGAATACTGGTAAACTCACCATAAATAACACATCATCCTGACAGCTATTAAAAGCTTTTTCGCCCTTTTCTAACTTATTCGTTCAAAAGAAAAATGAGATTTTTAGAAAGTTTCTAGTTTTCCTTTTGTACAACTTGACTAACTTTGCTAACTTCCGCTGTTTTCTGCAGTGACTCTAACTTTGCGCCAAAGTAAAGATGAGACATTTAGCACCGCTAGCCATAGACGTAGCATTATCGACACATTTTTCTCGATATTTTTTTCTATTTTTCATAAAATTTTTCAGGCATACTATCTGAGTATTGGTTGTTTTTCTGTTTCTGTCTTCAGGCGAACGCCTTCGTTCATGTGCACGTGTCTGTGCGTAAACTTTTTCCCCCTGATTTCTGCCGTCTCCTTCGGCCTGGCCTGCTTCGAATCGCTGTCCTATGGCCCCTGTATAATGTGTTGAGGTACTCACAGGGGCTCTACTGTGGCTTTTGTTTAAAAGTTGGTTACCAAGTTTATTGAACTGATATGAGGCGTCCGTGTTTTTTTTTTAATTTTTACTTTTACCAATATTTTTTTACTGCGGGATCTAGAACACCGCAAACATAACCGGTGCTTACTGATTTGAAACACCATTGGTCCCTTCCATTTTTCCTTTCTGTACCTCTGAACGTGTTTATGTCGGTATTGTATATATGTAAACATTGGTTATAAAACTTTTCAACATTTCTCACTAATATGTAAGCGACGTACGAGGTATACCCGTTAGTACCTACGCTTCGGCTGAGTCGTATATAGTCGCTTATGCTCCCCCATCACCGTCTACAGTTCCACGAACTCATTCTAAGCATTTCGAGTAAATATTACGCTTCAACTGATTCACAGGTGGAGCGCGGCGTAAACACGCTGCCATTTTCTTAAACTGACTTTTTTTTGTCTGCTCTAAGCAGTAATATATTTTTTGAGAAGTAACTGTAGAGTTTATACGGCCATCCGTTGATTCATGCAGCCAGCTATAACCATCAAGTAGACGGACACCTTGCACAGATTGTCCTTTGTGCATATTACAGTAACATCAATGTTAGAGACAGCGTGGTTTGGGTGGCTAAATTGCGTCTCTTTCACTGCGTTGCCATGGTAATCATAAGCATGCGGGCCTTCCTGGTTCAAAGCCTGCTCTGGCAAATCGTTACCAAATCCGTTGGAGTAACCGCAGACAGGTCCAACAGCACCCACTTTGGCTAGATTTCTAGTAGGATTTTTTGATGCTATATCCAAAAGGTGATTTTGAGGACTCGTTTGCACAGTAAGAATAAGTAACGCCGTTAAAAAAAAACCCTGTAATTTTGTCTCGGTTTCAACATTGACGTTAAACGTTTACCGTCATATAAATATAAATATATTTTAAATAATTATAATTGGCCAAACAATCCTAACAATAATGACGCCTAACTACTGATTTGCGGCTACACAACCGTTACTGTTACCCAAAAATGGTACTAGCTGTTATCTAGGTAGATATATTACATGTAATGGAAGTACGGTTTTTTTACGTTTTTGTTTTTACTTTTTAAGGGACGGGCAAAAGGAAATTGCCCTTTTGCATGGACCTGTTTTTTTTATTTCTGTCTTTGAAAATAACTACGTCTCTGTGTTTCGAGTTTTACGTCCAGTATCGCCGTTAGGCATTCCATCAGACGGACGGCTGGCTGGCTCGTAGCCATCACGAAACGTACCGTATGTCTATGCCCTATGGGTTCGTACCTAGACCGCAACGTGTCCCTAACATTAGCACGCAAATACGTTACCCACTAAACTATCACGCGGAGTAATGTCTGCTTGCCGCAAAAAGCGTTTCACTTAAGTTGCTAAAATACTGTCTATTTTGCTTAAAATGCCTTAAAAATAAATTAACGGTTAACGAGTCCGGTCATCAGTCAATGTGGACTTCAGTGTATGTAGTGCTATAACTATCCGCGTCAATGATGAGCGGTTGATTTTTCGATCTTCCATCTCGCATCATAGGCTACAACGATTCTATAAGCATTCTAAGCACCCATGAGTTAATCAAAGACCCTTTCATGTATAGTATGTATTAGATTGGCTTAATTCCGAGGTGTGTGCGCCCTGCTTACACCTCGATGCGTACACTTACATCCTGCGGCGCCGTAGAGTAATATGGTAATTTTTTTTCCCATAATTACCCAAGTCAAATTCAAATTAGTCATTATTAACGCGAAATAAGGTAGAGCAGTCAGGCAGATTCAGATCTGGAAATTTAGATCGGAAAACCTGGAGAGTTTTAGAAATTGTTGTTTACAGTTCCGAGTCATCGTTAAACTGTAGCATTATGGCATGCATTTACCGATAGATGCTCTTTGCAATATTTCCTGCATTTGGTGATATTGTTAATGATTTGCTTTTTCCTCATCTCTTTATGCTAGTACTTTTTTTTCTAAAATATTCATTTATCTTTTACGTTACATAGATGTTATTAATATATTCGTCTTCGTATGTGTAGCAGACGATATTGCTGTCTGCTCAGAGGAAGCAGATGACATTGCTGCTTGATTTACTATTGCTATTTTTATTGTTATTGTTGTTTCCGTTATTAGCACTGCTGCCGCCGCCGCCGCCGCCGCCGCTGCTGCTACTACTACTAGGCTTGCGATTATTGCTGCTGCTAGAAGTGCTGTTAACTTTGGCGTGGCCTGTTGCCGCCGGAAAGCGTGGTACGTGGTGAAGTCCAGAGAACAGGGGTACCAGGGGTTCCAATTCCCGGGGACTGAATCGAGCCAGTGGGGGCAGAAGGGGAGAGGTGGGCGAGCGGGAAAGACCCACGCTTGGGCCGGACGAGAGGTCGGAAGATTGACGTCCAAGCCGGGCCGGAAATACTCGCTGAAAGGATGCGCCAAACCAATAAGACGAACAAAACAGACACAACAAGCAAACGTACACACAAAAACACGAACAATACACACATATGCATAACAGCATAGAGGATAAAAAAAATGGCAAATAAATAGAGAGAAAACGACATAACAACAGGCATTACAACCAAAATGAATAAAATTACTGTACTTTCAAGGGTATTAAAAAGAAATAAGGACATTTTCATTGAAAAAAAATAAAGTTTAATATCTATATGTTCAGGACAAACAATTATACTAGCAGTGGTTATATGCCCATCACACCGTACTATGCAAACCTAGTAATGATGATCTTTTGGTCAGTCAACGGAAGCTGTGGAGCTTCAGATTCTGTACGATTCTTCGAAAATTCGAGCAATAATATAGAAAGAACCGGATTTTCTTTTCTATAACAAAAGCGTATGATTTGAAGCCCGATGCGATCCACTACCTTATCCAATTATGCTTGTCGTAGGTGGGTCGGCTATTTCCATGCGTTTTTAAAATGTAATTATGATTTTTAAGCTCGGATCGAAAATAAAATATTTTCTTAAACTGACAAAGTCCCATATGAGTAATACGGATGCAACAAGATGCCGGTCAGGCAAACGAACTACAAATGGTATAACAGGTGTTTAACATCATTTTCGCATCACATCGGTATGACTTCGTTTAGCTATACTTCACCGTGTCATTGGCTACCTGTAATTTGCATCATGCCATTCCCAAACATACGTTCACATCTAAAGCGCTACTATATAGTTCTTAGATGCTTAGTCAAAATTGTAGCTTTTCTCCAAAAATTTTACCAAATACAGCACCTTAGACTAGGCGAAAATAAAGCTAGCCGAGTGCACATCTTTTTTTTTAGTGATATGTATTAGGTGGGAAAGTAAGTTTCCTATTTGGTAACTTTTGTTTTCCACTTCCATTCACTTATTGTTTATTTCTCACGCATTGTTCGAAAACGCTTCCTTATTTTATCAGCATACAATAACGGTATTGTGCTGCAAGTGTAATTTCGACTCGAAACACCCTATCAATGACGAATGTTTCAAATGGAAAAAAGGTCGAAACGCTAGTGAAACAGCTTGAGATATTTGTCTTACACACGACGGTAATGATGGTATCGTTAAAAGAACGGTGTAAGAGTGATTTAGCAAGCTTGAAAAAGGGTATCCGGAATTTAGAGGGTGCCCATCCTCTCGCTCTAGCCAACTGTCCACGCTTAATAACGACCGTTTGAAGGCATTTTTAAAGAAGCATGGTCGACAACCAACTTCTGAAGCGGTCTAAAAGATGGCTTTATACAGGAACTTGCAGTGTGGGTACCTCATGAATCCTCTGAATCCAATGAAGCATTATGTATTATATTTATTATAATGTTAAATTGCAATATCTCGGGCGGTGCCGAGCATTACGCAGCCACAAGGACCGATTTCTGTACAGACTTGTCACCGACAATCACAAGAGGTATCTGCATGTCAACATGAACTAGAGACCAGAATTGAAGGCTTTAGAAGAGAAGCGAAGACTTAAGACCTAAGCAGATCTTTATCCAAAAAAAGAATATACTTTGGGTTTAGTGAGATTACGAATGCGAAACTCATTGGTTATCGCTTCCTACGAACCATATTTGGCCAACTGCATTGAGCCAGTCAGGCTATTCAAGAGAAAAGGCCTGACAAACAAGGTCAGGTTATGACAATGCAAGGCCATACAGAGTAAACATCGTCAAAGCTGCCCACTTGAACTCGAGTGAAAGGTTTTGTAACGCTTTCCATACTATCTGAACCTGTATCCTTGCCATTCGATAGCAAATAAAATTAGGAACCGCATATTTGACATTATAAAAATTCGAATGGGTTCTCAACATGAGACCTGAAAATTTCGGGCGAGAAACGAACGAATAAATTGGACAACGGATGGGAAAAGACTGTGGACGATGAGAGAATATATATATATATATATATATGTGGAATAACTTGTAGTTACAGGAATAAAATTTAGTCAAGTTTTCTCTTCAGTAAAGATGTGCCGAAACGTTCCCTTTAACCTAATACGTAAGCCGCTTAACTCACCTTTGACTGGGGAATGGGCAGTTTGCTTTTGGGACTCTTCGGAGCCCGAAGCGAGTTGGATCGCTGGTGCGGGCTCTGGAGGTTGTTCAGTCGACTGAATTGAAGAATGAGTGAGTTCACGGCAAGAAATTATCCGTTTTGATGAACAATCGAATAACATTAGTAATGTAGGCGGAAATGCGACCATGACAACGAATACATGGGAAGAAAAAACGCAAGTGTTAGAACAGAAACGAAACTAAGTTTGATAGGCGCAAGCATTAGAATTGGATCACTAACTTACTTGCAGCTCTTATTTGGCATTAGTGCATTGGCTAAACGAAGCATATTGGAATCGTTTAAGAACTTGTGGCGGAAGGCCCACACAAATCTCTTCCCAAGCGGCTTATGTCAAAAAAGTCACTGCCGTAAAAACTGGTTCATTTTACAAAGGAAACACTTGATTTCATTTTAAATCAATAAATCGATGCACAAACAGATCTCTTTGAATTAGGTTCTAAACTGGGTGATTGTACGATACTAAATAAATTAAATATGCATTTAGGTCTCAAGTATTTTTACAGGGATAAAGTACGACTGTCAATCTCATATGCTACGGGTCAAACACCCTATATATGAGTATATATACAACGCTTGATTATATATAATAGAATTATTAAAATGATCCTTTGTCTGTCTAACTCCAACAACTCGTATAGGCACACGCAAGTCAAATAATCAGGTACGAAAGGTGCTACTAACTTCAAGGTTATATAGAAGACGTCATAAAATCTACTTTGGAACTGCCCCTATTGGGCATTAAGAAGAAGAATTCGAGAACCGTCGTATAAAGACTGTTTATGCAGTTATCGATGTTTTTTCTTATAGGGGTTCTAAGAACACCCGGGTGATAGATATGCTTCCATAGGGAGCTGCATAAAAGCGGGCGCTCAAACGAACAAAACAGACATTAAGAACGTTATTCGATTTAAACATTGCACCAGTAGTTCTGGTGCAATATTTTGTAAACGTTCTTAATTCATACAGGACAATGAGCTACGAGGATTCTATGTGGAAAACTAAGCACAAACAGCACAATTAACCAAGCATAAGCAGTGACCATAGGGTACGATGAGTTTTAAATCTAGAAAAGCCGAATCAACAATTATCGGCAATAGGGGCAGGGAGCGGCTAAATATCGCGTCTAGCAATCTGAGTAAACACAAAATCCGACTTTATACAACATAATTTGTCAACCTTCAAAGAACTGCAGATTAAATAATAAACAATTAATGAGTGGACGGACAGTAAGCTCCGAGTAACCGTTGCCAACCCATTTTCTAGCTAACTTATATGGTTAATTCCGAACAATTATTCAAAATGTACGTTTGCTACTTAAGTAAATGTAGTAATAAATTCAAACGAAGTGTGAGTCATGCGTTGCATAATGTGACGGTTGAGTCAGCGGTTACCGGTCCGGCTCTTCCCTCCAAACAATCTACCCATCTAAATAACTGCTTTAAGACAACTTGCTTGCTACCTACATAGCTCTGTTATATGTCATTGGATTGTACCGTGTTGTACCGTGTTCGGACACTAATTATTGCGTCCTAGCGCGAATCTAACACTGCTCCTAGGGTCACGCTGCTTAATTCCGCCCATTGTCAGGGTATCATTGGAATCCTTGGAGGACAACTCCTTTAAAAACAAAAAAGCGTTCTTAACTGGCTTAATTTACGCCTACGCAAAATTCATCGTTTAATGGGCGTCCCTGATGGAGCTTCGTAAACAGCACAAAGCGCAGGTAATTGGTTCAGCAGGCTGGAGCTGTATAATGTGGAAAGAAGGTCGTGAAAGCTATCAGAAAGGCTGGCAGAAAAAAAATGAAGTGCTATGAAAACTCGCACACGATAGGATGGTTGATGAAGGGTGACTGTTGAATAGGCTCTAAATGAGTTGTTTGCTTTGTTGTCTCTGGATGACTGGCCCGTTGACTTGTTACCTCGTCCTCGATACCCGTACTGGGTTCGTTAGAAGAAGGAGATACGTCTGCCGTCAACAGGCAGCTCGCTGGTGTCGAAGAACAGAGGTCAGCGCCATCTGTCCCAACTGGCACCGCGCTAGCACCAAAAGAAAAAGAAGATAGACAATAAAGATGACTGAAGAGATGCGCCCAACATGGAAATCACCAATCAAAATTGACAACATATTCGTTCACCAGCGAAACGACGACGCCAATAATGCAAATTTATACGCGTAGCTAAGTACAGTCAGGCACGGGACGCCAGGTAAGACCATAGGCAGACAGGTAAATTAACTTACTTATTGAAAAGACTCTCAGACAGAAAATGTATTTAGTCTTTTTGTTTATTCATACAATATGCGGATGCAGCTCTTTAACGCCGTCAGACGTGCCGGTCATAATCACGGTCTAAGAAAATAGTTCTATTGACTGTCTAGGGCGACCTGTATCCGTGTAACGAATGTGATGGATTCTTTTGCATCTCCATGTTAAACGTTTTTGTTGATTATTTTAATAAACTAATATAACATTATGGAACTTTTTGGGCGCCTCTTACTACTAAACTGGGATCAATAAGGCTACCGAAAGACAGACTACAAAGTAACTGATTGCTTCCGTTTTACAACTGCTATACATTAACACCTTGAAAGAGATTGGGGGTAGTCACCTATTGCCCGTGGTATGGACCCCACATTGAGCATGTTTGTCTACGTACGACGACGGATCAAAACGCGTCCCGCAGTCCAATGCCAAGCAACACATTCTAATCATTCTATTGTAGAAAAAAAAACATTAACTAAACGATACCAAAGCCTTTGTACCAGCGCTGTAGACTCACACTCACGTCGATGTTCCCTAACATTAATGCACATTACGATATAGTTAGATTGTAAAAAAGATTTACCTTTGGGCTTCCAACTGGGTGTTTTCCTGCCGAAGCTTATTAACCACGAGCTCCAACTCTTTATTTCGATTGATAAGTTTACGTACGCTGGCTTGATTTGAATCAAGCTGAAAAGAGGAGTGAAACAAATATGGAACTGTGAGACACTTTAATCACATACGGCAAACAAGTTTTGATTCGAGGGACCACTGAAGGAAAGGCGGCCACGATCTCATCAATAAGCGCTGTTATCGACCTACAACTGCCCGTAGACACTAACGGACGCTTGAAATGTACATATCTCTTTGTATGTTCATTGGCGCGCATGTACGCAAGGAGCATGACAAAAAATTATGCTCCACTAGAAGGTTTTAAGTAATAATAGTTCCTTTATTTGACCCACCTCATCCTGGGCAGCTCCCAGCATTGCCTTGAGCTCTTCGATTCGCGACCGGAGCTTCTTGACTTCTTGTTCAAAGGCGTCCGCTCGCCGCAAAGCGTGACCCAATTCAACAGTTTTGTCCTGTAGGACTCGTTTCAACTTTTCGTACTTTTGGTGTGCCTGCGCCAGCTCTTGGTGAATTTTGCTTTGAATACCACTTCCCGCCTGACCAGCTGTGATTATCATTTGTTGTCCATTGCTGTTAACTTGGACTGCACATGCCGAATTTGGAAGGGCATTTCCGGCTACACCCGACAGATCTCCGGTTCCACACGTTCCCATGGAACCGATACCTGGCAAGTCATTTACCAGACATATACATGACCCAATTGGACGTACGTCAATAAAGTACACAACAAACACTTTATAAACAAAAATCATCACGGTAGTGAGTTGAGATGATGACAAAGCTATTCTGAGGTGCAGAAAAATCAGATTCCGCTATAAAGATCTCGTTAATGTCAGCAAAACACTTATTTTATACGTGACCGGAGCGTGCAGCTACGTTTTTGCGTAAGATAAAATGCATGTTTTGTATTAATCGATAAAATTTCATATATTGATTGATTTAATGAAATTTTCGCATCTACCTTCGCTAGAGCTGGACGTTGATCCCGTGTTGCAAGTAGATCCTCCGCCCTGGCCAGCTGGCGTCTGCAGAGTTGCGCCGCCCGTCTGGGCGCCCTCGACGTCCTCAAGCTCAAGAATACGGATCTTCAATCTTTTGTTCTCACGTTCTAGGGCACTCTTTTCTGACTCTAACCGCTCACATTTTTGCCATTCGGCTGCGTTTTCCTCTTGAAGCTTTTCAAGCTGTCAAACGAAATAATAGTACAATACAGGGAAACTTTCGTACAACTACGTACAATATTGCGCGGGTTTTCAGATACTTCAAAATGCCTTCTACCGTGCATGACAATATTTCAAGGTGATCCTTGCGGTCATAACAAAACAAACATGTTTACCGTGACAGCCACATGTGCTTATACGCGTGTGTTTTTATTTACCTACCTTGACCTGCAGCATTTGTATTTTTTCCTCTGCCTCGAACTCGCCAATGCCTATGGCGAGAGGGTCGCCGTCTTGAGCCTCTGTGCATGTACTACTGGCTATCTGATCGCTTAAGGCCTCGCCGTTTTCTCGAGTGCCTGAGGCGGCCGCTGCTACAGTTACAGCTGCCGCTTCATGATGGCCACTCGCCAGAACGGCTAAATTAGAGTTCAGCCGCTCATTCTCCCTACAACGACCAACAAAAGAGACTCCTTATAAATAGAGGAAAATGTAATGGCTACATCGTGTCACACCCGTCACCGTTCGTTGCTTTAGATGGCTCGTTCTCGATGGAGAAATGAAGAGTTTCAGTTGCCATGTCTAGCCAAGAACAAAACTGGGTTTGCTTTCTAAGGCGGCATAAAGAATAGTAGTGATTTGTGATTGCTTTAAATAATAACAAAGCGTGCGGCGCTGTTTATCACACATCGATAAACAACTAGAGGGTGTTTTTCCAGCATGCATCATATCGTCATGCTGAGTAATTCAATACAAGGAGTACGTGAAACGTACTCCTTAAAAATTCGTTCCACTTAGGCTACCGTAGGATTCAGCTGTAATTACAAATTGTGTACCACAAACGGCTCACGATACGAATTAATTATGTATGTTACAAATAAATGAACGCATTCATATTATTTACGTAACATGCTGAAGGTTTTACGCTACCTCTTGATACTGTCATTCGATCTATAATTCTGTAACTTATGGCCATGTGTTTCTTCACTACGTACTGTTTCTCATTGGCAAGTTGTCGCAGGGCATCCTGCAAACGCAGCTGCAGGTAAGCAATTTTTGCCTGATCCTGATCGCCCGTCGTAGCTGGATTCACTCCGGAATGACTCCCGGTACCGTAGTAATTCAGAGCCAGAAGCTCCTCGGCGAAACTCTTTTCATTCGACGAGACCGAACCGCCACGTCCATTAACGTCAATAGGTGACATTTTTTCAGCAAGACCCGGGTTGCCGCTTCGTCCTCCAGAAAGGTTATTGCCTGCTGCGACGTCATTGTTTGCGTTCATGAGAATGACGCCACTAGCCCCACCGAGGTCGAACGACGCATCCGAATCACTATAGCAATACAAACAATTGCTTTTTGTTAAGGAAACGGGTTTTTAAAGCTAACAAGAAATACATTAGGAGGTACAATTACTCGCAACAATATATGGAAGAAAATCCCTAATGAACTCGGTTTCGTTCTAATGCATAACCGTACATATGCTGAATGTTGTGTATGCAAAAAACACCAACAAAAGTTGCGAATAGATCCTCTAAAGTAATCTCATCTAAATACCTATCAGTACATACAGTGCATCTAGGTTAGATTTCAAATAATGGGGTACGATAGGGTCGATAATTACCATCCCTAATATTCATAATTATGCATCAAAGCTATAAAATATAGCTGGTTCCTTACAGTTTATCAAGTAAGCCATCGGGTTCGGGTTCGTTGTGCAGCATCTGGTTGTTATCCGTGAGGCTCAAGTCGCCTACTGCCATCGCGCTACCGCTCTCATCACCCATTCTAAAGGTGCAAAAAATATTAATCAAGCAAATTCATTAAGAATTTATAACAATAAAATGTTCTGGTACAGCTCCTCTCATTAATTTAACTGAATTTATTCATGGCTGGTGGAAAACGTCGCATAGCAATGGCGGCTAACGTAATTAGGAATAAAGAGTTATAGAAATGGGTTTCCAGAGTTCAAACAACAAATTATGGGGCAGAGAATGACACCGCCGTTCAAAAATTGCGGGTCGACTTGAACGAAACTAACCGCAAACAGGGCAGAAAGATGGCCGGCGAAACTGTTTTATAGGAACAGGATCTTCGGGCGACAGGAGATAAACGATGTGTGTCGAAATATTGGAAGTCTTTCTTCATAAACTATATACTGTTAATTATTTTAGACCAGACTGCAATGATATGCAGTCTTTGGGACGGACAGAGCCATGAAAATGCCATAGCTAATGCCAAAGGGGTTTTACAATGATTAAAAACATATTTAGCCGCTTCATCGCGTACAAAGCATGACAAGGAGCTTTTGATAGTTTATTTTACGTCTCGTTCTTTGTTTTCTGACAACGCAATGGAAGGCTAAAATTTAACAAAAATTGAAGGAGGACCCTCACGCTGCTAAGAAATTCATACACTGTCAAGAGTCTTTTGCGCCACTCTATGTGTCGGTAAAACACCGCACGCAATACAGTGGTATACCATTACCGCCCTCACTCAGTATTATGTGACTACGTAGTTTTTCGCCGTGTATAGGTCACGTACCGAAATACTCGGAATGATCTTGACAATCATATTAAATTTTGTGTAATTTTTCTGCTGCAATCGATGTGAGCAACGTGTGCCGTGTGCTCCAAGTTATTAAGTCTCTACCGTTCCGGTAGGAACTTAATAACCTGACCTGTGAAATGGTTCACGATACGAAACTTTACTCTGACCAGTCCTATTAGACGTACTACCGAATCAAGGCAAGTGAATGTAGTTTCAGAGGTTCCTATTAGCTAGAGGCTGGTGCTGAAACGTGATATAGTTTATAATCAATAATTTTTCCTCAGTGAGGTGCTTCCGGATCACCTGTGTACGTAGAACAAAAAATTTTCATGAGTTGAGCAGCGGTAGGGATCGCAGACCTCACGCTGCAGGCTGCTCGCCGGCTACTGAAACCAGCGATGTCAATGTCCTTTAAAGCCTAGAAATAAAGCTCTACAATTGTGGAAGAACTGATCCTTCCTGCCTCAGCTACGTAAGACACATGCAAGCTTATGTGCTCGCTAGTCTTCAAGAGTCCGAATCTTAATTTCTGTTCAGAGATGGCGCTTTGGAACTAAAAGGCACCTCGCGGCGCGATCGGCCATTAAAGATAACCTGAATTCAATCTTTAAGAACACGACTAGCAAAAAGCCCGGTGAATTGGCAGAGGAAGGGCCCTGCAAAAACTTGACCATGATAGGATACATTGAATTATTGGATTTTATCAAAGAACAGTAGCCTAGGTGCTTCATAACTGAATGAAAAACCCTATAGGACACTTATATTTGCCTTCTTGCTTTTGAACATCTTGCTCGATTTTGAGCAATCAGGCGACAACGATGACAGATTTTTGTACAGAATTGTTGCGGGTAACGAAAAGTAGCGTCTTTATATCAATATGAAGTTAAAAAGGTATGTGTAAGCCTCAAGCTGAGCCAAAATTCTTTATAATAAAAAAACTTTGTTCGGACTAGCTAAGTCTCACGCACTACGAAGTGTTTGGGTATAGTGAGACGGTCAACAATCAACACAACACAAATCTGTACATAGCTTAGTTGCATGGTGTACAGGAGGCTAGAAAGCCAACAGTCAAGGTAAAGTCGCCATTCTTAGGCAGTGACGGGCAGCATATCGCGTTAAAACCATTTGCATTGCTGGTCTCTTCGCATCCATAAGGGAATCTCCAGACGTCGCAATAACAGAATACCTTCTCTTTCAATTATAAAAAAAAAAAGGAATTCATACCAGTACGTAGCTTTAATAATAAAAAGGGTGGCAAGAACAGGCTAAACAACTTCTTCTATACTGAACTTTTTGCTAGGACTTGAAATGTTAAACGTTTGGTAGACGCAGGGAATGACGACGTACATATAAGGGAAGTTTTTAATAATGTAGGTGAAATTCTGTGCTTTTTTTAGTGTTATAGTAATATATTTTAGTCACTCTTTTTTTCAATAGCTTTTTTCTCGGTCGATATAGAATTGTCACGAAAAATTTCAATAATGAGAAGAATCCAAGGTTGTACTCAAGGGCACATTTTAAACAGAAAACGTCCAAAACATCTGTTTACCATTGAACACTTCTGAAGACTCAATTTAATATTACTATTAACTTGTTACCGACAAGGTAAGACGTCAATTGACGCCGAGTTGTCATTACCTTTAGCTGAGTGTTAATATGTCGATTAATTGGAGGTAAAATAAGACTCATGAAATATGTGCGTACTGCAATTCCTTTAAACTACCATCAGTTTAGTTAGGGACCTCATTCTGCTTCCCATTGCGGTTCTTAATTTTTTCTATAGATACAGGACTTTCGTAATTTAATTCTGGCGTGTTTAATCTGAATCGTACGAATTCAGCCGTTGAAGCGAAAACAGTCCAAGATTAATTTGATCTTACCGTCAGTATCTTACTTCATATAGAACGTTCCTAAGAGAGAGATTCACTAGTTTTCGCATCCCCATCGCAGTGCTGAGGACGAATGACTATTTCGAAATCTTGCAACTATCCAAATACAAGATTGTGACAAAGGCTTTTGGCCTAAAATTGATGCTAGATATTAAAATACCGGAACTACGCCCCGGTAGAGACTTAATTGACTACGTTGACTGATTCTCACCTCCGTTTGTCGAGCATTAGCGACTCGGCAAGCGCATGAGTATTATTATTATTATTCGATGAACGGGTCGTATTGTCCGGCGTAGTATTGCCCTCGGTAGTTTCTTCAGTATGGGTTGGCGAAGGCCGCGATGGTAAGGGAGAGCCGGCCGGGCCTTCAGCTCCGCGAGTCACCACACGTCGCTCACCTATCTCCTTAAGCCGGTGAACTTCCGAGCGGAGGTTGATAATCTCTTGTTCGAGCGTGCCTCGCTCCGACGCTAGAGACTCGAGCTAAAAATCGCAGTTGGCAAGAAGGGCAAATTTGCAGTGGCAGCTATTTACTAGGCGTCATTGACCAGGCACGTCTCCAATTTAGGAAGCAACGTAACAATTTGGAAATGGCACGACGGGATCGTGCTCTATGCTATGGTACCTTCCAAAGTACCATAGATTAGACATTGAAAGCAAAGAGAATTTTAATTATTTGAAATTAATTCGCCGCTTAATAGAGTATTTGTATTGTATGTAGGTTAGATTATATTAGCCGAATGAGAGAACAGCTCAGTGTGCGTGTGCGGAACGAATTGGACACTCGAATAATATAACAAGAAGATCCAAACGCTTTTGAAATAAACCTCTTTTCGTTTTCCAATGTTACCAGATATCAGTGACCGTATTTTAGTATATTATCGTCTTTTTCTACTTCATTCCTATGAGACGAAAAGTACCGAAAAAATATAAGATTCTCATTTAGGACATGGGTCAGTGAGGCCTGCACTAAAACTCGCCACCTTTTCTGTTACGTCATCTCCAACAAGCTTTCCAACCTACGCATCTTCCCTACGCTCCCCTAGGCGTTCGCCTGCCCTTTTCACTTTTCAGGTAACTACTTGGTGCGACTGCATTTTCCACTCAAAACAGGCTCACCTCTTTCGTATGCTGTTCACAGGTCGTCCGCATACGTCGGAGTTCCTCTTTGGCCTCGTTTCGCTCGGCGCGAGCTTTGCTCCATTTATCTCGCCAGTTGTTAGTACAGTCTGACCACCAACTAAAATTCAAAGCAACGTTGATTGATTGATTAGTGTAAGTTTCAGGCATCCAAATCGATACGAGCCGTTTTGGGCCCTAACAGCCATGTTAAATTTGAATTGACTCCCTTGTTTACTAAAATTTGTTTCACAAACTGGATGAGCGCTATTTAGGCTTGAGGCCTGCCGAATTCTAAACTCAGTAACCGTTCATAAGTCAGTTGGTATAGTTGAGTTCACCCATTGGCCATTAAAGGGAATCAATCGTACTTAAAATTAAAATAATGAAAAATACTAAAAGTACAGACAAATTAAGAATAGGTAAAAGTACAGAAAAGCAACGGCACACCATAACATTCACATACCGTAAAATACTAAAAGTAGGGTTCTACAATACCTCAGACAATGTTGCCCATTGCGAGGATATTGGTCCTGGCTATTTCAGCCCTTACCGAAATCTTCATCACCGCCTACCGTTTCGCCTATCCATAGAGACCAAGTTGGCCTTTTTTTTTTTCACACATATGCTTAGCTAGCTGCTTGCCTTGCTGTGGCTCCAAAGAATGCGCCCACATCTGATGGTAGAGTAGTCATTTCATTTTACTCTTGAGTTCTGCTCCACGCCATCATTATTAGATGGTGCGTATTCGCTCATGCATCCCTGTGCTTTCGTTGCTTGTTTAGGTACCGCGTTAGCGTACCGTCACACCGCCTTGCTGTATCTGGCGCGCGCTTGTTACGTAACTTTTACAGGCACCGTGCTACTTTTGAAGAGGCGCATGGATTAGAGCCAAAGCGACAAACGCAGTCTAGAAAAATGGCAGTATTTAATAAGCCACCGTGTATGTATTCGATACAGCCACACATGGCAATGATCGTATTTAAGCTGTTCCTGAGATTGCCTTTTTGTATTGCTATACTTATTGTTTGTGTGCTTATCTACATGTTAAATACTCGAATGAGATGGGCGAAAAAGCGAGGGAGCTGATGCATGCTAATGCGGTAAACGTTCTTTAACAATCTGTCAGCGAGGCAGGTTTTACGAAAAGGGCGTGTCTTATGGTGGCCTGAACACATGATTTCTTGCTTTGCGTCACTTTATCTTTACTCCTTGAGCTCCCTGACTCCACGTTACTCGGTACTATGGAGGGGACGCTGACTCGAGAGTACTGTGTAGTATCGAAATGAGTTACTGTTGAACAATCTCGGTGACGATTTAATTCATGGGCCGTTGCGCTCTTACACGCAGACGAAAGCAACAATCAGTAGGGTAAGGGATTCTAAGCAAGCAGCAGATTCGATGAAATATGTTATGATCACTGCTTCTTACGCAATTGTACACACAAGAGTCAAACATATTGCATAGAAAAAAGGTAATGAGGTAGGCCTAGAAACTGCTCAAGTCAACGCTCGAGTCGAGAGTCTCGATAGGTTCTCGTCTCTCGAAATGGGCCGAACGCGCACAAGACGCAAAAGGATGCCTCTGTATGGTACTCCTGAAGAGTGTCACTGTATTGCACAAACGATGACAAACCAGAAAAAAATAAATAGCAAGAAATAAGCTATGACATAGTTAAACCGACCAACGAGCAATATATACAAACAGCCATACCATTTCTAGTAGTTTAATAATGATTAGAGGTCGAAACCTTTCATCCTTGCTGCTGGCTGTTGTGGTCGCTCGACGCTATAGAGAAACCGAAAGCTACGGTTGCGGTTTCTCTATAGCTATAAGAATAATGCTGTTGAGTCACGCGTTGATGTCCGCTGATGTTTTCTCATTAACAGACAACACGTGAGTTGCCGTTCGCAACTACAACACGTATTGCTGCTACGGTGACGACGACGGTAATTGCTATTGTCACGGTCTCTGTTAGTCTCGGGACAAGGGTAGAACGTAACGATACGTAATTTAATAAGACTACGACGCGTAATCGAATTGTCGATCGACTGAGTATATCGGTCTGGGGCCCTGCGTGCCACCTATAGCAACAGCAGCAGTAGTAGGAGTAGCTGCATCGATAACAATGCCAATAGCATGAACGACCTCGGTTAAAACCGTGACGACGACAGCGTTTCGCTAAGTTCCACTGTCTATCTATGTAGACAGTATGTAGATATCACAAGCTAGGAATACTCATTTGCTATAGAAACAGTTAGCAAATGAGAGGCCTCATCGGAAAACGGCAAATGGTACAGTCACTCGACAACAGTTCAATCTCTCTACAGGATGGGCTTGTTCTATTATTGTGAATCAAAGTCTATTTCTACGCAGCACTACAGGGTGGTTCCACGTACGCGACTAACAAGCTTCAGTAATCCATCGGACGGACAAGACAGCCCGAAAGAACGGACACGAATAGCGTTTTATGTCACTTTCTCGGCGCATGACAACGATACTGCTTTAAGAGAGCGGTATTTTTCGATGTCGGGCGCAGTTTAAGATGCATCGGTGAAGAAGAAAAGATCAACAAATGACAAATTTTATCATCTCGTTGGAACCCTGACGTTTCTACACTGTTTAAGGCATTGGATAATCGAGACATTGCAGGTCTACGAAAAGGAGTCCTAAAAACGGTTTTGACCCTGTCGTCTGTCGATAATTTTTTGTCAAACTGACAAAGCGTACCGACAATCTTTGATTTGCTGCAAGAACATGCATTTCGCCGCCAGCATAAGTGACACTTACTTCAGCCATTACCGTGAGAACAATGGTCAATCTACGGCACAGTTAAACGATGATTAATTTGTGTGCGAGGCATGTTGACCTACCACATGCCTATTGCAGTTTCCCGTTTGCCTCTGAAATCGTTTTTTGAATCGCACTGACTGTTTATAGAAGCTGGTAGCTCCGGTGTTTGCGGACCTATATAGCTAGAACCTTATTGGCTGTCGGTTAGGAACAGGGAAACAACAGGAGTTGAAACATAGAAAAGATTATGGTCGAGCATAGCAATTGTGTCCTATGCAGGCAGGAGGCAATGGCATTTGTCAGGATAAGTATTGACACGTGTGTATGCAACACGATGCTCTCATGGTTGAACAGTGTCGTCCTGATACGATGATTCAAAGTTATAGAGGTTCGTCTCTTTGAATCTGACATTACGATATACGTGACGAGTAGCAAAGGACAATTGTTTAAGAACTGTCTCGCTAGCGATAAAAACGGTTTAGTTTAACGGTGTTTGTTTCGTTGTAGTCAACGTATCGTAACAGTAGTAAAGCGGTAGTGAGAAAACAGTAAACCCACAGGTACAGCATATTTCCTAACGGTAGCAATTCGTAGAGGATCCAAGTCAGTTGTCAGGTATGAATTAGGGCTATCAAATAATGACAGTTACATCGCGTTCAGGTAGTTGCCATGGAAAGCAATACAAATACATATTGTTCATCTGCAAGTACAAATACAAGTTCGTTTAAAGCGATCGCGGGTGCAGGGCGTTCGATCTAGATCGAGCAAACGGCCCGGCTAAGACACAGCCACCGATGCCTGCCGCATGGTTACGTCTGGGTTCAACTGTCGATAACATCAGTACACACAGCGTCCATATATTCGAAGACGCTTCGGGCGATGAAGTCGGTGAAGGCCTTGCTTAGAAGTTATGTTGGTATGGCTCGCGTTCCATTGTCTCGGACAAATATCATAGCCATTTATTAGTTACGACATTTCGGACGACTTCGTACATTACTTGTATGTGAAAAATTCTAGTATATGACCTATTCTAACCTCTTAGAGACGGTGCGTAAGCGACGCGATAACGTGCTTGCGCCCTTTCTCACTTCCATCGGGCAGACTGTACAGAGCATTATATTTAAGTAATAATTCCTGCAGCGAACACGGCAGGCCTACGAAAAACATTACGAGACTGTAGAGGATGGCTATGCATGCCCGGTGCACAGATGATTCCATGCTCGCAGCGCGGCCATATCACTTTTTAATTGATAACTAAAAATATTGTTTCTCACGCTTCACGTAAACAAATATGTTATTCAATCAGATCTGTATGGTTTTTTGCCGTTGACAAATCTATGACACTTCTTAGGCGAGACTGCCGAGCGAATACTAAAGCGAGATGCGACGCCAAAAGTTATTGGATTTACATTAAATTTATCAAGAACGACTTTTAACGGTTTTAACAAGTAATAACTGGTCGTAGCCAATAGCAATGTCCCAAATCGTACAGAATAAATGCAAGCAAAACAGGGTCCATCTGAAAGTAGACAAAGTATTAGTTTCAAATAACACAAACACTGTGCATTTGCAATAGTTGATTGTACATCAAAATCTAATCACTTCAATTGTTGCTCACGACAAAGATGAGTGTGCACTCTGCACAGTCCAACGTCAAACACAAAATACGAGAAGTTCCACCCAGCGACTCTTTACATTATACACATTATTACATTATTATTACATTTATACATCTAAGTTGAGTATGGTCACAACTGACAGTGTTAATGAAATGAAGAAAATCAGACAAATCAAAATATAGCCTACAGATAAAAAAAATCTACTTTGCCATAACCCGTATGCCTTTAGTTATGGCATAATTTCAACCTACTTATGCTTAGGTCTTAGAAATTTACGGAGTAAGGGCTCCCAGAAAGGACGGACTTACCGTTCAACGACAGATAACCACATGGCATACAAATCTCAATCAGACTTAGTATAGTATAGTATTCAGCTGAATACCCATTCGTTGATATAGTTCTGTAGCAGCTTCACTGAAAACGGCCCAATCTTCTTTGAGGTTGGAATCTATCTTTCCCATGAACAGTCACTGGCCATCGCCTGAGTGAGCTGTGAAACTACACGATACGACTGTACACGATACGCGGCACAATTCAAAAAGCTTATCTAGCTGCGGCTAAAAGTTTCCCTATTCTGTTAAATATGGCTTTTCTATCCAAACCATGTACATGCGTAACCTATCGCATAAATGCCGCCTATTTCTAGCTCCAGGTTCTGCTAAAACATGGGGGTCTACAGAACTAGAATCAGGACCCTGCCACTTCTAATCATCCCGCTCGGACAAGATCGTTAAAGTGCTCATTATAGTGGTGCAGTTCTTATTTTCTTTTTTATTATTTTGCGAGTAACTAGATTTTTCGCTCACTATGTGTTCAAATAAGTGCGGTGCTTCGCAGGCATTTTCGTCTGCAGCAGACGAAAATAATAATAATTACTGCGGAAAAACACAACATCTCGGCTGAGACCATAACCTAACAAAACAACGCATCTAGACCGGGCGGAGCACACAATGCAGGGGTAATCTTATGCAGCATGAAGGCTCGAAAGTGATAAATTAATTAGTTGTTGGGTTATTTTATATATGGAAATTAATGAATGTAGGAAATGGTATTGATAGAGCTAGAAATTGAACCATGTGGAACGGGGTCCTGAAATATTTTTGTGATACCTTAAAGCAATTTATTGCCGGGATGCAGCTTGTAATGAGTAAAAATAAAATGACACGAATTCAACTGCTAAAAGAAAAAAGTAACTAGCACATTTAAGAATAAACGCGCAGGTACGTTATCGCCGTTAAGCGGACTGTTTACAGATTTAAATAACTATTTCTAGAGGCCGATAACCGGACTGCACAACCTGCGGTGTAACTTTCGCAAAATCACACACTAACCGCATGGTCTTTTCCATCTGCGTAATCCTCTGACGGGCTTCCTCCAATTCCTTGACCTTGTGCGGGCTGGATGAATGATGATGTTCCCCATGAGACTGATGTTGCTGTTGTAGGTGCTGTTGCGTGGCAGTTGTTTGTAGAAATTGTTGTTGTTGGCCTGGGTAGTGTTGCAGTGGCCTCAGGGGAACTTGGCCTTGGCCGACCCCTTCGTAGAGTACTCCACCACCGATCTGCTCGTACTGTGACATTCCTACGGGCCAAAAAGGCTAACTGTGAGAAAGACCACCACACTGTGTACACTAGCAAATAATATACAGGCGCTAATTTATATTAAAAGGTCTACATGTTCGTCTATGGGCACATTCGTACAGTTATAGATCTATAGAAATGTTCATTTATATAGAGGGAAAGGTAAGGCTACATGGGACAGCGGCCGTGTGGATCATTTCTGTTTTTTCTAGCAGGGGAACGTCGATTTAAAATTTCCTACTCTCAAACTTTTGGATTTTTGCTTAAATACACACAGGTCAGAAAATGAGTGCTTTACGCATTAGTGGATTTTTATCTTTGACTGAATCGCGAAAGGTTACGTAGGTATTTCGTCAAACTTTTTTGGATCATGAAGGAACATTTGTTTTTCTACCATGATTTCCCCCAAAATTTAGAAGTTAAAAGACGACTCAAAATCAAGTAACGTTGTGCAGCAGTCATCGCTACGTATAATAACTTTATGGAGGAAGATAACTTTTGTCTAGAGACGTCAAAGAACGATCATGCCAGCTCGTGAATTTAAGGCTGGTTTCCAGCATTGCCGAATGCCGGCACCTGCCTTCTAAAAAATTGTAATTTATGTTGTACTAAATTCCTTGAGCTGAATTGATCGTAGCCCAAAATATAAGTATACCATCTTCTGACAGTCGCGTTTCAACTACGTGTTCAACCGCTCAACAGCAAATTGTTGAATTCACGCACCATTATACACTCAGGAGCTTTGCCCATACGAATGCGCAGTATCACACGGCTAGCAACAACAGCCGAAAATAGAAAAAAACAAATCGCCGAAATTACACCGCCTAGTAATCAATTGTAGCGTGATGAAATCAGTCTCTTATGCTCTATAGAATCTATATCGGAGGTCAAATCATTCTGTGAGACCCAGTTAGCTGTTCTGTACATTCGAATCGATAAGAGCATCTATTAGACCTATTTTTTTTTTAATGGACATAATTTCCATTGGGTTATCATCTGTGTGATGATTATTAGCCAGAAGTCTAGGCCCGGACTGATAGAAGTGAAGACAACGCCGCCAATATTAACCGCAGCCACATAGGTCTCCCACCGTTCAAAGCCTTGTAAGAGAGAAACTAAGCTGAGATACCACATAGAAAAATGATAACAGCCATTACAACAATACGAATACTGACTCATCTATGTACTCCAGGATTTCACCAGTAATTCATTATCTACTTGTCGTTTTGATTGACCAGCAGTGCTTAGCTGAATTTAGCAACAATCTCCACCTAAACTAGAATATGCCACTTTTGAACAGATCCGCACTACTCGTGTTTACTGTTCAACAATAATATTGAAACTTCCGCGTAACGAGTTGTTTGTAGAGACTGTAAATATTCGCAGATAAAAGCGTAGTCTTTATGACACGCATGACTAGTTCCAGGACCATTCCAAAGGTCCTTTCCTCTGTCTCCCTTCATTGGAGAATTGGGTCGAGCAGCAAAGGAACCCAATAGTCTACAGTCATTCAATAAACTAACTCGACCAACATACATTGCCCTGATATGCCTATCAGAAACGATAAATTAAATCTATTCATTTCAGACCAAATGATTTGCAGACCATAATAGCAGAAGACAAAGAAGATGTGTGTGTTTGTTTGTATTTGTTGTTGTTTGTGAGTTTGTATTTATGTATGTGTGCTTGTGTCTGTTTTTGTTTGTATGCGTGCTTTTGTCTTTGTGTGATCGTGAGTGAGTGAGTGAGTGTGTATGTGTGTATGTATCTATGCGTGTGTGTCTGAGAGAGAAAGAGAGAGAGAAAGATAATACAACGCAGCTGAGCCGCCTTACTTCTACGTATAAAAGACAGTGTACAGCAGTGAATACGCTGTAAGGAAAAAAAGTGGCGGCGCGAGAGGGCGCCAAAATGAAAATCATACATCCAAAGGCGGCAAACATTATTTTACCGAGACTTATATTAAGACTCATGAGCTAGAATCGTTTGGTTAGCTTGTCTGTCTTTACTTTTACATTCCTCGTTTTTTTTTTCGGGCATTATGGAAACTACCACAGCACTGCGAACCGGTAAAACGAACGATATGTTGAAGCAGCAGCACGAAAAAAAGGCGATTGCATCAGGTAGAAAAAGCCTAAAAAATAGACTATTCCAAAAAACAGACCACTGTTGTGGTAGGGCAATGATATCCGTATTGTTCGGATATCATTGCCCTTCGATATCCAACCTTTTGTAATTAATAACGACAATGCCCTGTCGCGATACGGCTAAAATGGAGACAGATAGAATCTGTCTGCATTTACACTAATTGTCCCTGCTCTCGGTTATGTACAAGCCAATCTTACTTCAATAAGAGGATTAAATGCGACGGGTAGTCGACACTGAACAACATGAAAGATTTGTTACTTTCGACAAATGGAAAACTTGGCGATATAGCTAGCTGATACGGCGTATATCTCCAGTTGTGGCTGTTTGTGCATCTATTTTGTCTTCTAAAAAAAAACGTAGCAGCGTCTTGCTAGCAGTAGAATGAACTATTTTATAAATTTTCTTAATTCCGATGATCATAACTACGATACTACATGTAACGTAAGAGGTGTCGGTGCAATTTCCTAAACGGCCTAAAGTAGATTTTCACTTGAGCTGCTTTTTTTTCTTATAGGCCACACTTTGAATATATTGGGTCCACAAGTTCTCTTTAGAGCAGTGTTTTGTGCAGATCACAACACCGCCTTGTCATCAGCCTCGATAAGCTTATCGTGGCGTGAAAAAAAAGCTGTGGGAACGACTCAGGCGTATTGTTTCCGCAGTTGTTATGCTAGCACTACGGTCTACCAACACTGGAAGACCATTCAAACGCAATGGATTGAACAGCGACTAGTTACAGGAATACTTGTTGTTAGATAAGAGAACGACTCCTATGACCACCGGTCGCGTTTTTATCTAAGGATTTTGTCTAAGACAGTACCCTAACTGCGCGATAGATCAATAGCGTTGACTTGGTCGCAGAGTTCTAGGCTAACTTAGGTTGCAGTGTCGCAAGCTTAAAAATGCCCCGGTAACCGCTACTCTTTTAGTTGGGCGAAATTCACTAGTGAAAGCTCGTTCAGAGCTTTACAAAAATAGAAATGGAGTACATGTTCAATCCTAGCCCTTTATTCTGGAGTAATCTTCGCCAGAAGATTTCAATATAAAGGATCCCACGGCATAGTCTAAAATGAAAAGAATTATTAGTAGAGACTGATGAAAAGAACAAGTGACATTATTTTTCACTGAACCAACGTAAACGTATTAGTTCCGTACAAGGGACGCTAACGGCAATATGATAAAACTCGAACCAATTGTAACATAAGCACTCAACTAACGTACAAAGGTACAAGTGAACGGAAGCGTGTGAAGTGTATGCTGTACAAAATCAACAGGAAATTTCATCGTACGCGGTGAACTGACACATTGTTACATGACTCACATAGGTTTCTTTTACCCTATTCAATATGAGATAGATAAACGTACCATTCTACTATATTTAATTACAGGGGTACATTCTCAAGAAATTGTATGTGGTGGAAATTCAAAGTTTTATGGAAATTTCAATTTGGTAAAATGGAAATTGAATGAAATAATTGAATGAAAATATTCTACTTATCCCTCATCACCATCAGGCGGTAGTGAAGTTAGCGGTAGCAGATTGTGAAGAAATCATATATTAAACCAAATGGTCTTAAATGGACTAGTCAGATATGCATGCACAATTAACTCGTTCAGAAATTATTTTAGCTCTAAATTTACAAGACGTTAGAGTGCACCATAAGAATATCTACCCATGTCGTCAAGTCCTGTATAGCAATCTAAAAATGAATTGATTAATGGAGAATACATTTTTGCTTGATACAAAAAAAATGTACACTTTGCTCAATGCGTCATAACTTTTTAGGAGGTGTTTAATTGAAGATAAGATTGGACCGAGACTAAAACCAAGAAAATTTATTTCAAAATATCATTAGAGGTATGAAAGTATAGCAGAAGGAAATATGCAGAAATATACGAAAAGATCCACTTACGTTGTTAACAATTGCTTTGAATAAAATATAAATTTAAAAAACGACGATTTAAAAAGACGACGTTCCGGATGACCAGCAACGTCAACGACGTTTACCAGCCGAAAAACACTAGAAAGGCATCCCATGACGATCAAATCGTATGCTTGCTATAAGCAAGTCAGACGTTTGTCGTATTTTAGGGCGTTATAAATGAAAGTAGCACATTCCACGATTTGTGCGTTGCATCAGTGAAAATGGTTTGCACCGAAGAAAATAATATTCCGAAAAATAGTTGGAAAAATCCGAACAGAATACACAGTTTTTAAGTAAAACTCCTTGAAGCGATCAAGCTACATTGAAATTGGATGAATCCCACCGGAGTCAAAGCAAATCCACATATTACACAAGAATATTTTGTAAATTTATTAGGAGGAATTACTGTGTGATGTAGTATTTCAAGACAGAGGATATATTAGGTCATTTTTTTCTTGACCATCCAGTGAATTACTTAAATTTTAGGATGACATATTCCGTATCTGACAGGACAGAGCACCTACAGATTACCACCGTAATGAAAAGACACATTTTGATAAGAATATTCCAAACAGCTGGGTAGAACGAAGAAGTCCTATCGAATACCCTGCCCGTTTGCCGTACCTGATGCTAATGGCCATTTTCTCATGGGGTGTACTTCAGAAAAGAGCTTACGCCAGAAAATCAACGACACTAAAAAATCTGAAAGTCATGATCGAGCAAAAGTATACTACAACAATAAAAACAATATAATGTTTGTAAATCAATAGCCCACCGTGAATAGCGTGTGTTGGCCAGAATCCTCATAATTTTGAACACGCGTGATAGAAGCAATTCAAATATTAATTAATCGTAAATAGATACTGGAGTTACAATTATTCAAACTGTGTATAGATTTTTGGTACACCCCGTACAAGTCTTCGATTATTACCTATGAAGTTGAGAGACTCCTATATAAAAAATCAATTCCGCATAGAATATGACTTCCGCTGAGACTAGACCATAATAATCATACGAAATCAAACGGTAAGCAAAGTTCTTGATCATATGAACTCGTGCATAATATTTTAATCTGGCAGTTTTAGGAACCAATCTGTCCGCAAGTTATAGAGACATGTTTGTCTATATGCTTATAATAAAAAATTAATTATTTGTTGCACTGGATGCTTTGACGAGCACGGACGCGCGAGACAGCAAACGGAAGTACTCTAATTAAGTAGTATTTTATCGGGCTGTAAATCTAAGATGCGTAATTATAGACCCGACCTACGCACTATGTACTGAGACAATGGAGCTGACACTCCTAGTAATGCTACGATGCTAGCACTTTCAGGATACCTATGTTCAACGCTTTGGCTGTCAGTGTTTGACTCCGTGCCTGATATTGACCATTAAGTGAAACCATACGTAAAACAAGGGCTGGAATGTAATCTGCCGACTTGTCTGACGAAACATTGTCCATTTTAGCTATAGCGAACCGGCGTCAATAGCCATTGTCGGTTATGATACAGTAATTATGCCAGAGCGTCATCTATTCTTGGTGAAAACTAGCTCTAGATACGATGCTAGTTATCGACTGCACGATCCACGTAATTTCCAGCACAAAACGTTTTTTCAAACTCCATATAGGGAATGTACGATAAACAGCTAGCATAAAACACTGATTTGGCTTCTCTATATGTTTACTTATGCACAGTAAAATGAGGAAAAGGGAAAAAGCTCCCGGAACGCGTAATGCTATTCTAGCAGACGACAAAGACGTCAACATAAACATGGCCACAGAAGAAACCGCTATAGTTGGCAGAAGGAATTGATCCTTTGGTTTTTGTGCTGTGCACGTGACGGCAAACGTATAGTCTCCTTTACGAGCGTCTGTAACCATTCGCTAAGCAACATCTAACAGTCAAAATTACAGTATGTCGACTCGGACTGAATCAAGGCAACTGTCTGCAATCGTGTAAATAGTAACTGAATAACCCGTCGCTTTAATTACGGTCCAGACCCCAGTAGTGCTGCGTTATCACAATGCTTTGCGCAGTTCGCGTGCTGCAACAACGCTGGTTCGTGAGCAAAGCGAATTGTCGATCAGAGCGGTCGCGGCTGTATCGCGCGCCGCAATAGCTTAATAATCATGAGCGGTCGACTTGCAGAAACCAATTCCTTTGCATTGCTTAATCCGTGCCAAAGTCGGCATATAGGAACGGCACAGTAGAGCCCCTATTCTGACAAGCAGACACATCCATCGCAAAGGCCAAACAGACTGATTGATACTGCTAGATAGAGGTGGACGAACAAAGCGACACTACACGTCGTTACCTTTTTCGCAAAACTAGAATGCCAACTCTTGTAAAACAATACAGTAAAGCTATTAGCATTATCAGAACTGTTGGGTTCTAACGAACCCGCTAGTATCGTTTTGACTATTGCTGCCTATGGAGGGTTTTGCTACTGCTAGGAAAGAAAGAGGGTTGTCGAAGTGCGACTAGAAATATTGCTAGTTGCTGAAGATTGACCGGCGAAGACCGAGCAAAGTGAATATTGAAGACCAGCGGCAAGCATGAACCCGTCAAAGGATGTGCGTGCTAAAGACTGGTAACGTGTGTTTCTTTCAGTACGTATATCGACCAGCCTGAGTATACGAAAGTTACTGGTCTACAAAAAGTATTATTGGTGGGCAAGGCAGACAAAGAGCGCGAAGGGCAATGTGACAATAAGTTGATTAAAATCTAGTACGAATGTTTTTATAATTTTTTTAATGATCTCAGCTGTTTTTATTCTGTGAGGAAGTTCTCGAAATTACCTTTTTCGTATAGCATTAAGGACTTGCCCTCACTAAAGGCTTGATCAGAGTGGGTCATGCTCTACTTGAAATGACATGCGATAGCCGTGCAGGCCACGCCGCTCTCTGTTTTTGCATTTGATGCAATTATACTTTTAAACAAAGAGTGACAAAGCGTTCAGTGTGGCATACCAACCGTGACGGTTGGTATGCCACACTGAAACGAGTACTTTTTCACCATGTATATATACTCTGGTCATTTTAGTCCTAAGATTAAAGATTAAGACTAAAATTAGTATACAGCTGTTGTTGAAGTTTGTTTTCTACCAGGAAAATTTCTAGTCAAAATGGCGCCCGTGGGATTTACTGTTGTGGTATAGAAACCGAGACTGAGAGCAAGCCAAAAGGTATGACGGGTATTATGTCGTAACGTAGCCACTCGACGTTATAATAGTAATACATATGTAAGTTACTAATTTTTAAATGTTGTACAGGGTTAATTACTAGCAATTGATGGGAAACTCATTTATTTCTACTTCATCCGAAAAAGATTTCTATATCTATCGTGGCATAACGAATTCTCACAATGCCTAGAGTTTCATCACAAAATACACTGGTTTAGGACCCAGGATAGATTTGTGAAATGATTCAGCTCTAAATAGGGGCGCCTATCTAAGTCAGCTCGTAAGCTATATCGATTCTATTTACTCTATGACTCGAGAGCCTATTTCACTGTTTATGACCATGTTTGTTTGTCCAGGTTTCAGGGCGCTTGGCGGGCACTAACAACGGGTCGAATATGCATGTAGGCCACCATCATGCATTAACTCTTGCTTGAATTTAGTCGCGGCGTTCTCTTATAGATCTACGTTAACTGTTAACCGTCAAAAAGTGCACGAATGTCTCTCCCCATCGACGTTCTTAACCTATATTTTTCGTGTTATTCGTGCGTTTGACTATTTGCTAGCAGCTGCTGTGTCTAACTGTTTGGAGTTTTATACCTGGTTATTCTATTTTCGTTACACATTGATTCAGACGACTGGCTTTTTTCAATACGAAACAAAATTTGTCATCGCCCCGTGTTGAACCTAGACTACTTCGCATGTGTTGAAGTTTGGTAGGCAAATACGTCATCACTGTGCTATTACGGGAAAAGTCGCTGTGCCGGACTCCTCTCTTTCTTGGTTCTAACTGGCATCTAACATTTTTGCATGATGCAAATCTTGCTCGTTTCGCTCACTACTACACAGGACATGTGGTGAAATTGCAATTACGTTTATAACTGACTAGTCTGAGTTTTACCGATACTTTTGAGAAATCATTACTTTTAAAGGAGCACGAGTGCATAGGCTGATCTATTAAGGGTTAAGAAAAGGATAACTCCAAAGAATGTTAAAAAATACATTTTCGACTAATGGAATAATGTAAAGCGTAAGAGCAATGAGTCACCAGTAGCGAACAGTCACTCTTATCATCGACAAGGTTTAATAAATTAGCCATTTCGTAATTACGTCTGTCATTGTTGTTTCACGTCAGTTCTATGGGAGAGTTATTGAGATGATTGGTAATAGCAATTGATTTTTTCTGCCGTCAGTTATTATGTGCAGCTTCGAAGTATACACGACTCCACTTTCAGTATGTTATTTGGAAGCTACCGACAACTATACATTTGTCTATAAACTATAATATCTCAGTACGGACGATACCGCTGGCCGCCATGGTGCCTGCAAACGCTGTTCTGGGGCTATCTTCAAACGTGGAAAGCGAGAAAGATGTTGCTGTTGTCAATTGGCAAGCAAGCAATAGAACACTTCTCTATGGTAATGAAAAAGCAAACTTCCTTCTTGGAAGAAAGCGCCCGGTCAGTCGGCTCCATCTTCACCGCAGATCTTCTCAACATGAAACTCTAGCTATCTATAAAAAATTAATCCGAATCGACTTTAAAGAGTCATTAGGAGTCCGACAAATGATCAGACAAATGGACAGGGGCTTTTGGTGGTACATATAGACCATATAAGTGGATAGTTGAGTCGATGATATATTCTTCATAGACAAAAAGCAAAAACAATAATTTCCATTATTTACATCTATTGAAATTGAATGGTGAAAAGTAGATTTGCAGGTAGGAGCGACCCCGCTCTAGAGTTTGCCAAAGATAAACAAAGCGGCCGCTCAACATACTTGCAATAAGAAAAGGTAGACTTACGATATAAGTAGCATATGATTGCAAGGCGAAGAAGTCAATTTCTTCCGGCAAACTTGCTTAACATCCCATGCCCCGCTGTTAACCTATTTCTGGCCCACCCTATAGATAATAGATCTATTTGCCAATCTGTCGTGCCGTACCGTAATGACCGGGTGAATCCTGTCTATGGCCAAGCTGTTGCTGTTGTAACATAAAATGGTGGTGTGCGGATCCGCCGTGGATCGGATGGTGCACGGAGTCCATTTCGAGACTCGAACCCGATGAATGATGCGGTTGATGTCTTCGATGTGGCGGCCGGGGCCCGCTGCCGTCCGAACTGCCTCCCGCCGAATTCGAATGCCTGTGTGTATAGAGTGGACTGCGCAATGGACTCCCTGCCCCACTCCCTGAAACATGGGTAAAAACGAAAAGCAACATTTATGTTGAAGATATATCGAAACCTAGTAGATAAATACGGAAAGTTAGTGTCTGAAGCCCAATGCCAAACAGCAGTGCCGTGTGTAAAACTTAGAATGTTCAAGGTAATGTTACATTTACTGTGAGTTTATTTCATCCTTCTACATGATAAAGACAGTGCGTTCTAAAAGTAAGAACATGAGCATGTTAAGATGATCAAATCTTGTCTTGACAAGAGGCAGAATTCGTTTGAAGTTTTCCAACAGTAGCCTTCTAGCACTTCGTTGGAGGCTAGTATAATTTGATAAAATATCTGTTGGCAGAACAAATGGATTAATCCCATAAATTTCTTCCCCAAAACTAAGCTTTCCATTCGAATCAGTATACATTAGAAACTGTAGATGGAAAGGTCATCTCGTTTCACTAACATTCGTAACTGATATAATCCTTAGATGAATGATGATTGCTAAGATGGCTCACTACGTACAGAGAAAAGTGGCGTATTGCTACTCGATTTTTAAATATCTATGCATGCAACGTAAACCAATATAAGGTTATTAAAAATGAGAAAAAAACATTGAGCTCATTAAACACATTCATTAAGACAAAATTCTAGAAAACCCTAAGCAAAAAAAAATCTAGGATAGGGAGTACTTGTTTAGCTTTGGCGAACCTTGTAAAAGCCCATAAGATTTCGCTTTCTAACAATTCATAGTTATCAATCAAGTTTATTTAACATGCAATTTGCATGAAGTAATCATCAGTGCACACTGTACACATGTACGCACTTGAATAATGATAAATCTATCAAAAAAAAATTGCACACACTTTCTTTTCGAAGTTATTGGTCAGTTAATCAGAAGGCTTTGTCACATCACAAATAATGGTCCTAAAAAGCAATTATAACACAGATTTGGGAAGAAAAAGCTGCGACTTCTCTATTAAGATTACCTGCGGCTCAGGGAACTATATTTATTGTTATATTTTAAAATAAATAATATTATAGGCTGTCTGTAAGCAGATATAGTTGATAAACGTTACGTGTTTTGCAGGTAAAAGAACGGGACACTTCGTAATATTTGAGGTGATATTGACCTGATAACAATGGCAGTTATAAACCGACTAGTCGTGAAAAATCAATGGACACGTTGCGCACGGCTCACTTCAGTATTGGTTTCAACAGGATACAAACGCATTTATATTTGTTATTATTTATCAAGCTAGCTTGCCGAATTCGTGTACTGCTCGATTCATAATCCACTCACCTAGTTTGTGTGCTATGCTTGTCAAAGCTCGAGAGTAGTCACATAACAAGAAACATGCTTTTCGCGGAGTTTGGACCCTCCTGTCCTTCTTTTTCTTATAATGCAATATATATTTAGTTAACTGGTTTGGCGTATGAGTGGCTTAAGAAGGTTTCGTTACGAAAGCAACGCGAGCTTATCAGTTAAAGCGAATTTGAATATATTAATTGAAGATAAACGAAACATTTCTATGTATATAAATGAAATAGTAAGTGGCTTTACGTTAAAGCTTGGTTATAGTTTTAATATCATCTGGGACAAGACTCTAATCTAAACGATTTAAGCGATCACGACCATTATAAAACTGTGCCTTTTAACTATGTCAGCATCATCATTTGGACGTTACACATAACTACAATAGATATGTGACAAATACTTTTCACTATAAATAACAATATAGTATATCCATTATACGGAACGACAGTGCTTTTTCGTAGGCGTATTTTTGCTGGTAAGAAGAGAACATTTAGCTGCTTGTCGAGTCCTACTTCTGTGGTAGCTGTCGCAGCATGATCCTGCGTTGTGGCGGCAGCAAACACAAAGCGAGATGTCGACATTTGCGTAAGTCGGTTCTGTTCTAACAGGACTTTTCGTTTCAATAGCTTGTTTGCGCACAGGCGCCATCATACGAGGATAGTAACAATTGTCCGTACAGTTTTCACTAGTCCCACTTTGTTTCGCATCGCCTGCCATCGTTTTGTCGTGCTTTCCGTGAAACAGCGACGCTTCATCCTTTGCATACACGCTTTGTTGCTCATCGCCTTTCTGGAGCGGTTTCAATAGGGACTGCGGTAAAAATGCTTCTGTTTGTTGATTTGGCAACTGTTGTTGAGGGTTGACTATCGCAGCTACTCTATCAAGTTCTTCGTAGTCGTTCATAGGCACCCACCAACAAAGAACTCCTCGGAGAACATAGTACAGAGTGCACATCAATAATGATAGTGAACCACAGTCGGGTCACATATAGATTCGCAGAGAACTCCTGTACTTTTCAGAGGGGTTGTACGAAAAACTCTATTCCAGACGCTGGCAAAGAGAATGGTAGAGTTCTTGCAGCTTCAGATATCGGATTCTTGAAAAAACAGCCACGAACCGTTAAAAAAGGCACGAAACTGTACAATATATGCGCTCCTTTCAATGCAGCTTGACGCGTTAAAGATGATAGAGTCCGTTTTTGTTGGCAACTCCTGAGTCGACAGCGTTGAATATCTCTGTTTAATACTGCGCCAAATCATCTCATTACGATGCTCTTCCCTTTGGCGTTTGCTGAGGTCCGGGAAGTCCTGAACTATCTGGCATCCACCGGCGCCGAAGTGTGTGTCATCTGCGCACTGCCACCGACTGCTAGCGGAGCAGGGGGTGAATAAAACAGCCTTTTCGCTCGACGGCGATGTTCGTGCAGCAACGAGACATCTTGGCACCACAACGGTATCCCACTAACAGTAGCCATAGAAGGTTGTTCTTGTGGCCAGCATTGGTCTAGTTAGCGGACACAATGTCTCAGCAGCACTCATCGGACGAGACAAGGATTTCGTGGCGGTCGCAGATGGCAACAGACCGTTCAGAAAGCCGAAAAATATTCTCGATATTTGACCACCTTGACTTCGTTCATCTGCTGTGCTTGACAGTATCTATTAAATCTGGTTGGATACATGTTCCTGTTCTTGCAAGGGGTGTTTTCGTGCTGTCTGCTAGTATATTTTTCTATCAGAGGAAAAGGTGTTGGACGGGTAACTGAGTTGGGGGCATGACGAGCGGATGAGGCCTGCCAATTTTCAGCGATTTCTTCCCAGATTCGGTGCCGTACAGTTAATATAATAGTAGTATATAAAATGTTGTGCGAAATGAACCTTTTTTCCCCCCAACCTAGCCTGACATTATTTGACTTATACACAGGAATAGATATGGGAAAACAGAGTCAGTTTGATTTGTCCGCGTGCTGTGAAACATCCTAATCTTTGAATGCAAATCAGTTAGCTGATGGCTAGATCAATGCCTCAGCACTGCTGGCATTAGCTAGGCCATTTGAAAGTATATCCTGATTTGTTACTTAATGCTTGAAGTAACGGGTTGATATAAGCAAAAAAAAAACATTCCCATATAGCCACTGACCTTGTAGCTTATGTGCACATATAGTTTTTCCTCACATAAAAATTATTCGTCCTACTTCGTTTTGTTAAATGTTTTAGTTATTCGGCTCTGTGAGCTCAATTCCAATGTTAATACAGTCAAAGTGATTTTGCCATTGTGCTTCTTTGTATTATACACGTACAAGATGCGCAGCCAAAAGTACGATTGAGTATTCTTTTACTATCTGTGCCAACGATAAACCGTTTATATGAAGCACTCGTTCTTATACTTACTACCACTGTGATAATGCCAGCAGCTGCTACCGAAATACCACCAAAAAACCAATAAAGCCAAAGTACGCTGGTATTGACTCATGCACATATATAATGATCTCACAAAATAACTTAGTGTAAGTCTTTAACCAATCAAATATAGTAACATTTCAAACATGCACGCAACTCAAAACTTGTGTTTTACGAATAAGCCAAAGCGGCCGACGTATAGAGTCAAGCCAGGCAAATATCTGCACAGAATTTTTTACTCAGTCAATCCATAATTCATACTGCCGACGGTAAATGGTCTGCATCGGCGCATTCGAATAGGCTCTATCATGCGGGATCGATGTGGCGTACCATGGTGATGTTGTGTGCCAGGAGTATCCTCGTCGATCCGCTGGTAAAGCTCCTCCCGGACGCGGGCGGGACTGCGGTGGCTCATCTCATTGCATTCGGATGTTCTTCACAACACGCCTCGTTTAGGCCACATTAACTGTAGTCAGGAGCCTTCGTTGCTACTGTCGTCGCAGCTTCTGCTATGGCTCTCGTGTCGCACTATTACAACATCGACTAATGATGCTTCGACTACCTCACCTTTTGTTAAACAGCCCGTGAGAGCCGAAGGATTAACTTCACAGCGCCAAGCAATGCTGTTGTACGCACTTTTACTCCTTGCGTAGCCGACTCACGTAAATTTACATACACAATACAGAAACACTTACAGACACACGTTTCCTGGCACTGAGGCGCAACAATGCTCACGAGAAACAAAACGGAAAAAGCATACCGCACGGACTTCGATGCTGCACGTTAGAGTGAAGCGAGCGACGCACACACAACGACTGAACCGCAATATCTCAACCCAGCTTGTTTCGGCTCTCCAAACGGCTTACGATAATCGTTACCTGGCAGGGTAACAACGCAGGAAGCTTACAGCAACACAGCTTGTCCTAGAGCTACTGCCATGCAGTCCTGTCGTGGTAATAGCAGGGATTGCAATTGTACTAGACACGAACTACAGGAAGCTTCTATGGTAAAATACTATGGTAGCAATACAGCTGGTACCTGAACTCCCGATAGATTGGCGTTGCTCACTGCAGCTGCTATTGCAGCAGGACAACACCGTTTGAAGCCGTGTTTGCTCTGGCTTATGCTGCTACTGCCGCTGCAATACTTATTGGCAGTACACCGACGCTGCCGATGATAAAGTCACGAAGTTTCGTGTGTTTTATGTAGTTCCCTGTGCTCACGTTGTCCACCGCTAGTCGCATTCGTAGCGCTCGTGCTGGTGACGGTGATGAAGACCTGAGCGATGAGAAGCTGTACCGCATCCGCTAAGCTAATCCTCATGGGTGGGTGCCTAATTGGGTCGACCTGATCGAGCACGACGTCCGGCAACAACAACAACAACAACGATTTGTTGCCAATTTTCAATCGGCGAAGCGACGTACACAACAACACAAACCCAGTACGGACACCAACTACTCTCGTCCCGGAGCCGTTCACTCCTGCACTGCTTAGACTGCACTTGGTTCTCCAGCAACAGCTACTGCTAGCCGAACCGCTGCTGCTTGTGGACTAGACACATTTTACTATTGCGGCAGCATCAGCAGCAATAGTCATAACAACACTACCGCTAGCGCCAGCCAGACTTCCACCCGTGCACTCGTCGTTAGTGAGCGAATGGGTGAGCGGGTGCAAGCGAGCAGCGCTGCAGTTCGCCTAGGAGAACAGCGTTGGGCCGGCGAGAATCGTCTGCTTCGATTGTCTGTCCGTGTGTATCCCAGTTTGGCCGCTGTGTCCCAGCAACGGTAATAGTCGATTCGACGAGGAATAGCAACGGGCTCATTTGGGTTTGCGGGTAAAACGCCTTTTGAGCACATGCTCACTTCCCTTCCAAGTTCGGTCACGACAAACGATGTACTGCACACTTGTCGTCTGCTGGCCGCTGTCGCTGTCGCTATCGCTGGCTGAAATCATGTCCCTAAATGGCGATGGACTATACGATAGTCCCCGCAGATTAGAGGATAGTGTTGTCTACAGCAGTTACTGTGTGTATTTATTCAAACCAAACTACATCAAACTTCATCGAAATTGATTTTACCATAAATCGCGTACGCCCATTTTCGGTGCTGCAGTAAAAGCAACGCCGCTGTGCTAACACCTGCTCTTTAGTAGGGGCTATCGTTCACTACGACTGAAGCAATATGCGACATGGGGCTTAACTGTGTTCGTGTATGCTTTCTGTAAATAAACGAACCAGTCGTTGGCAGGTGAATTAACTGGCGGGGAGAAAACGAAGCGGAAAGGAGATATATAAATCACTGATAGTTGGAACGGAAACATCGCGACGGTACTCATACAGATTTTCCTTATCGTGACACAGATTGAAAATGCTTTTCCTCTCCGCTACTTTCCGGCTTCGACGAAAAAGGTTGTCGCATTTGCTAACCGGAGAGTTATTAAAGCAAATGTTCAACTGAACATTTAACAATTCAACATCCACCGATGTACTGAAGGTGTCAACTCGGTATTAGTACATTAGGTTCTGCATTAGGTGGATCTCTGGAAGCAGACGATAAATTTAAATAAAATAAACGATAAACGAGATTTTTACTTCAGGATAACTTAAGAAAAAACTTTCTATGTTTCTATGCAGTGCGCAAAAGTTAAGCTGAGACATACGAAAATAGTATATGTAAGGGAGAAGTGAATTCACTAGAATGATTTGATTCAAAGTGAATTAATTCAATTTTTATAGATAAATACTTCACCAGGTTGAAATATTCTCTAGGTATTTTTTACACGATACGTTGTGTTGTTAAGGTTAACTTAAGCAGTAGAACAAATTTTCGAAATTTCTCGAAGTTTTAGGTAACTTTTGCAGTGCGCTGTGCCGAAATCGCCACAGCGACGGTCTCTAGACATTTGTATAGGCGTTGTCCGCTATAACGCAAGATTGCTAGCACGCTATAGAGCGTGCTTTGCATTCAGTTAAACAGAATAGTTACCTATGGTAGGCCAATGCTAAGTTAGCATTTATGCAGATGCGTAACGTACATCTTTTGTTCACTGTACGAACTCAAAATTCGAAGTGTATCAGCATAACGACATAAGTTTTTTGAGAACTGCATAAAGACAACAAGGATCATTGAGGTCGACGGGTGTTCTCACAGCGCGCGTACATATTGGTTCAAGGCATATCAGTTTGCCTCAGGCGATCACTCGTAATTTGATTTTAATAATTACGTACTTTTATTCATAGCAACGATATCAGTCTTTTTAATCACCTACGTTGAGCAGTTCTGTTACGCGCACCTCGGAGAGAGGGGTGATTTTACTGTGCTTAAAACGGAGGAATGCCGGCAGGTCAGGCCCGTTCCGACGTTTTGGAGAATCTGGATAGCCCTAAAGAAAGAACCTATTGGTCCAGTAAGAACACTTTTTAAATGTACACCATTGTCCTTAGCGCTTTATATATAAGGCATGTGCTTGGTGTGGCAAAGGATCCGTGATAAACAGGTAATGCATTTGTTAGCTTGAAATTTACTAAAATATGTAATGGACGGACTTCGAATGGTATTGAAGCTCGGAATAGATTGCAAAGGGATGTTGTTATTTCCAGCTCAGACGACATGTATGGCAGCTGGCTCGATATGATCCAAATCCAAAGCATTAGAGATTTCATTAGACGTGCTAATACGGGTGCCGTGAAGCTGCTTTTGTCAAACTTTGGGCAGGCTTGAGATTCACACAAAGAAGAGCTCGGATAACATTGCCCTGTGAGTAAATGACATGGGTAAGTAGAACCTGTGAAGTGTTACAGAGCGTATGAATCCAAGGCGCAATTGGCTCTCAAATATGAGCTTCGAAAGCACAGACAGCGGTATCAGCTGTTTGGATTCGTGCACAGCTAACAGCTAATATAAGTTCTACTAATATAGGTTATATTAGTGGCAACCTTCGTAATTGAAAGGGAGACTTGTAGCTATAGTTTGGCGGAAATTACCGTGCGCAAATATTTTTCGGTAATTTTAAATAGTAAAATCTGGCAAAGATCAGTTTATCGTCCTCTGAACAGTAAAAACCCGTGTGATATATTCATAGTACGATACTTACGGGATAGTTAATTACCCTGTCAGTTTCACTTAGAATGATGTCTACGATTCGATACCGAGAAAATTTTTGTGTTGTTTGTGTACGATTATTAATGTTTGGCCGCAATTTATGTATTTACTTGAGAAATCATTATGCTGACCATTGAAAAAGAGCTCTACTCGTGTTGACTATTAGCCACATAGTAGTACACCATATTTGTTTTTCCTAGAAACAAATATATAGTCCTGATAAGAGTAAAACGTATCATCTTTTGACTATAATATGTTGTAATGAGTTGGGGATTACTAGAACAATTCGCAGGGTTCGCGTGATAGCAAAGTGATAGCGTGTTTCAAATTCATAAGGTGGTCTAGCTTCAAAGGCGAACGTAGGCAAAAGGACTAGCCGTCTGAAGCAATATTTAACGGAAGTCAAATTCGGGAAGTTGAAGTTGACTCACAGGCATAGAACTACTCAGATGGCATTAATGAAAAACGTGAGACGCAATGCGAATTTCGCATCAAAGACATGCCTATGTCGTGCTAGGACTAACACTCAGCTGGGGTTCGGTAGGGGGTTTTCATTCAGGAATACTCATGCACATTCAGATTTTAGGAAACGTCTAAGACGAATATTTTATTTTGACCAAAACCAGGAGTTGGCTGCATTTTGCGCTAGTGCAAAAGGAGAATCCTAGAGTGTCTGCATTTGAATTTCCACAAAAAGGCTACATATAGCATTTTGCATTGTTTACTGATAAACAGTATCCAGGACAATTGGTGTCATTCTCGAGAACTAGTATTTCAATCACATTTGACATTTACAGATTCCGAGCAAATACGTAGCTCAATTTGTAATTCTGTTTAGGACAGCTGCAATCGAGGACATTTTGCCATTTTTACCTATGCTGAATCAGTGAAGCTCATTCAATGTTGAAATGGAAGGCAATGTTCAGGCAGGAATACTTGATAAAACATTGACTATGTACATATTTGTATAAAATTCGGCCGTGTTTTTACATTTTAGGGCACCAGGCTGCCAATCCAGGCTAGAACGGTGGCTGTGAAGCACGTTCGTGATGCTTTGAGATTTTAAATTATACCGCGTGAAGTTTTCGGCAAAATTTCGTCGTTGATAGGCAACGTGACTGCCGCTTACTATGGAGGAATTTTCCCAGGATCTTAGCGTAGCTCTCGAAGAAGCGAATCAGCAAGAGTCTGACTCTTGCACTGAGCAAGTGAGTAGAATGTTATGAAAATAGTAACATTAATTATGATTAACAACAAGGTTAGTCAACGAAGTTTCAGTGTTAAAAGTTTAATACAAGAGCTTGCTCTCGTAAGATCAGCAACGACATATACGTAATGGGAATGATTTATTTGAGACCTTTTATTACTATGATCGTTACTCTAGTCGCAAAATATGGCAAGCGACCTCACTGTTCTACACGAATTAGTTACACATTTAGGTTATAATGTGTTTTCCCACTTCACTCTGTTATAATGATTATTTCCATTGTTACAATGAAGGTTATGCAGAAACCTCGTCGACCACGACGACGCCGGGTACGAAAGGGCGTCTGCGACGTAAAGGGCGTAATTGACATTAGTGCTGCCGGAGGTTTAGGCGGACAAGAAACCGATGGGAGTCAGTCCGGTGAGCCTGATGGAGATGGCGCTGATAGAGGTTCGACATCGACGTCCACCCAGTCACAACAACAACCATTCAAAAGCAATCGATCAAAGCGGAATCCTCGAATGCAGGTACATCTTTGCAATAGCTAATCGGAAATCAGCAGCAGAGTATCTACCAAAATATCAATTCAATGATACCAATCACATATTAATACTTTTTTGTTTTTTTAGTACTTCTAGGTACATTTAATTAAGGGTAAAGTGTTATTAAATTAAAGCGGCAGGTAAAATTAGAAACACGTTTAATTTCTATCCGTAATGCCAAAGCTAACGCTTTACGTAAACAATCATGTGCTTTTTTTTCGTGAATTATCTTGTATGCAGTCAGAATTACCTCAGTGGAGTTGATCTGAAATTGAACAGCCCCCAGAGAACTGCTGTGGTCGGATTTCCATGACGGATAGCTCAGAACGGTGTTGTGGGTTTTTTTTTTTCAGGAAAATTGAAGTCTGCGGCTGTAAATTAACCTGAGATTACGTTGGAAAAAGCATAAGTCACAGATCTTGATCACAAGCAATGCTTTTCCACGTGATCGAGTAAAATTATCGGCTTGTTCAGGGAGTACTCGTCTAAAGAGCGAGCCTCTTTATAATTTAAATTTTTGTTAGGAGGTTCCCGTCATCAGAAATTAAAACAGGATACCCCAAAGCGATCGCAATATTGGAAGTGTCATATAGGGGGATGTGATAGGCCGTTATTCAGGCCGTTATTTCAGTTCTTTGGCATAAGGGAATAGCATAAAACCTTCAGATATTCTAAAGTATGTTTTCTTTACTATAATGCCTCTATCATAATCTTACAGTATTTCGTGAAATCAAAACAAGCCTGTTAGCTATAGTCCAAGTTTATTTTGTATCCTTCAGCGCAACGTTGCGTAAAATTAGACCTGACGAATTGTTACGATTCGAGTCTAGAAAACCTAAAATTAGCTTTTTATGCTACCAGCCATCAAAAACCACCACCACCTAAACGCCGTCTCCAGGAGCCAATATAAAATATTTTGGGGATGCTCAATTTCCGCCTAAGGTTTATTAAACTAATTCTGATTGTCTGGAGTACGATCCCCAGAAATTAAATTAAACCTTTACATTTTTGGCTGCCGGGTTCCATTTTATAAATAATCAGGCTACAGAGGTCGTACGAAATACGGATCTGACCTCTCCGTTAAGGGATAATAAGCGTTTCTGATCTTGTGGAACTTTCTGATGTGCAAATTTAACTCTGTGCAATGTTGTTGAAGCGATCGAACCATACTTAAATAAAATTTTAGTTATTCTGGAGAACACTACAATATTAAGACGCGTACATCATCCTTTTTGCAGATTTTTGTTGTTAGGTTATAGATCTAAGGCCGGCCGTCGCTAATCTCTTGTGAGCGCTAACACACTGCTCTGAGTGGATAGATGTCTGCTTGCTATAATAAATCTGTCCTCTTATTTCTTTCCTCATTTCTTTTTGCCTTTATTCCAAACAGGTCGAGGTGAACGAGCGACCACTGGGTAGTCTGGCTGTCGCCGACGACGTCGAAATGACAAACGTAATGCATCAGGGAGCAGGTCCACAGGGAACCACAAACGACTGCCCTATGGAGGGGGCATTTTCTTCGTCTTCCTCTGATTTACCATCGGAGTGTGGTGGGTGTTGTGGATGTTCGTCAGAGGCGGATGACGAGCAGACCGATTTTCCACACAGTGAACCACCGCCGCCGAAAATGGCGGCATTACTTGTGGACCATCCTGTGATTAACCGGCCCGGGCCAGGTGGACGGGCTATTGGAGAGCATGGTCGACATCATGGCGTGGGGCAAAGCGGATCCGTTGGATCGCATCATTTGGGCGGATTATCGATTGGATTAAGTCATCATCATCATCATGTGGCAAGTCATCTTGCATTAACGAACGAGTTCCGCCGGCGAGTGCACTCGGCAGGTGAGGATTTTGCCAAGATGAGTAAGTCAAGAATGGGTAACGAAATTATAAGAGTGCATATTGCATTCGTCATATTGTATTCAGAAAATTCATCGAAGAACAACGATACTGTATTTAGATGACATTAATATGGTTAAAATATGCGTACCTATCTATGTACAAGTAGTTCATATATCAACAGTACGTACGTATGTGTCTTTGAGGATTTCATTAGTGTCTGAAGAAGTTCTAATTGCCTAGCTAAATTCATTCTTTATAAGATGTCCTTAAATAACGTTACAGCAAGAATGTACGTGATCTTACTTTATATATGTTTGTGTGGGTGGGGGAAAGAGAGAGAGCCTGAAATAGAAGGTCAGTATATTATGGTCATATGTCTAAAACCAAAATGTTCTAATCAACTCAAGATTATGCCTCTTCTTTTTTTGCAGGGAACCGAGCAGGTGGAAACTGTTCGGAACAGGCCGGTGGCCGGAAACGTCGTCGTCGATGTTGTCCACTTGTAACAACAACTCCAACGACAACAGGCGGCGTAAGTTCGTGCGGTGTTGGGTCGCCTTCTGTATGCGATTCATCACCCGCCCTTAAACTTGTGTCCGGCTGCACAAGAGACCAGCCGACCATGTAATTCGTCGTTGGAAAGGCACATCTATTTTATATGTAGTTCCATAGAAATGAGAAGAAAAGCAATGACGATTCAATCAATAGACCGATGTTATGCGAACTCACAAAAATCTGTTCGAACAAAAATCTGGGACCAGTGGAAAAACGAGCTGCCTGTTAGATGGCGTCTGATACGACAAGAGTTATCAATGTAGTATTTTTTAATATTATATATATATATAATTGAGTCTTCCTAAGCTATAGTATACTAATAGGGGGAATCATGTTGGTCCGATTGTGCGACACAACTGTAATTTACTTCAACTAAGTGAGCACAAAACACGGGTAACTTATATTACTGAATTAAGTGATTAACACTGTAGTAAAATAGGAGTCCATATTTGATCTTAGAACCACATAACTTCGAAATTTGATAAGAGCCATGACGAACTTTTTCTAAAACTGGATGTAATATACTTGAGCTTGTTTTGTTTGGGGTATACTAACCTGTTCCTATAGGGTTTCAATTTTAGGATCAGTAAAAGGCTTTTTGAGTATTATACCCCGTGGGCTAGTTGTAACGAGGACCATAACCGTGTTCTAGCATAGCCATACCCAAGCAAACACACACAATAACTGTTATTAGCTAATCATTTTATTATTATTATTACAGTTAAGATATAAGATATTATACACCTAATATCCATAAAGTGTTCTTGTGGTAGACAAAGCGCTATTGCTCGTGCTGTGTAAGAAACATTGTACAATATTATATATTATTTATTGTGTAAAAATCTGTGTAACGTATGTTATACGGAGAGCGTATATATATATATATATATATATATATATATATATATAATAATTGTGAGACACAATTAATGCGATGTGCCACTGTATAAACGATAGCCGTGACCTGTCTTAATTCACTCATCGTCTATTTACCGTATACAAATACGTATTTAAAAAAAAAATTTAGCCTATGGCACACAACGGCAAGAATAGCGGAAGGAAGATAGTAAATAAAAATTTCAATTTTAACAACGAGTGAGCCGTGTCTAGTAACCTGTTGATCGATCAAAACGATCAATGAAATAGTTTTCATTGTTCTATATACAAAGTTGTTTTCTATATACAGAGCAAAAAAGTGGATGTCAATTAAACGCTGGTTAGAAAAAGTCGACGAAAAGAGCGCCAGATTTTGAAAGTGCCGAGAGGACTAAAGAAACATAAGCCTTTCTTAACCTGTTTTGTTAGTGTCTTACATGGTAGGCAAGTGAAGGGCGTATATATATATATATATATATATGTGTATATATATATGACTTAGTTCTGTTTAACGTATTGTCCATTTGTTTTCTCAACTTACTGTTCATTTCATTCGTTTAAAACACAGATTGCAAGCGTCGAACATAACAAGTCGCTACGTCAACGTCAGGTGTCACTATGGTTTTGTTATTTGATCATTCGTTAATGGATAAAACTAAAACTAGCTGACGAACGATTTTATGGACGAGAGGCATTGAGATGATATGCATTGAACTTGTATGCGAACCCATCTACTTCCAATACTCTAGTTATCGGAAGTAGATGGGTATCGTTTGGTGAATTCTCGCCGACAGATGCGGAGCTCATCGTAGGCTTCTCTGTGTCGAAGTCATATTTTTGTGCCATCAAAAAAAAACAAATACCAAAAACTTCATTCAAGTCGAATGATGATATCTCTAGTTTCTGTGAAACCAATAAGAGCAGTGAAATAAATTCACAATGTGTGTTGTAGCTCTATATTTGTTTTTTTTTTCTCTTTTCGAAATCATCCGATACAACATCGACAACATCAGCGTTACTCCATGAAAATATTTTTGACGCTAAGCCCTGAACTCACGTGGTTAACCCCTGGAACTTTCGCGCAGCTGAGACATGCGAATGTGCCTTAGACGCACATACTCATGGAAGATCAAAAATATATACACAGCACGGCACCAAGTTGGGACTATCTTTGGCGGGCTGTTTGCCGTAATAGGCATGGGTTCGTCTGCCACTCTTAACTTGGAGGAAGCCTGTTTCTTCTAAAAGAAAATTTTATTTACATACAACAAAGTAAGTCTTCGTTCAGTCCCCCTGCCCTAATATATATATATATATATGATTATGAAAAGTATGGATACATCTGTGGTGTAAATTTTTCGAATTAAGGGCATTACTTGAAAAAAATTCGGTAGTCGGAATCACCGTGATAAGTATGTGTTCACAAAAATGTATATAATTTATTTATCGCATTATCTGCGTTTGGTTTTATACGAAGCAAGCCCTTGATTACAAAGCAGTTGTCAAGGCAAAAAGTGACTGGAATGATTGTCTCAAAAAGGGCTGAGCTTCATTGTGATCCTTATACGTTTTCCAGCTATTGCATAACAGAAAGGAAACCTGGGTGGACGATTATTACTAGTCTGAAATTACGTTCAATAGAAGCATAAGGAAAAACGTTATTTTTGTCATTTGCCAATCTAGTCAGTTCTAATGTCGTCGAGTAGGTCTCGTGTGGTCCACTTGCCAATCTTGCTTTCAGAAATCGTTAGAACGAAGTTGGTAAACTTATCATTGTCAGCGCTGTTAAATGCCGTTTTGAATATCTATGAAGCAGGTAAACAGAGCAAAAATGTCATAAAATAATTGGGACCTCTGCGGTCACATCAGCCTAGTTAGGGATGGGGCAATCGACGGAAGTCTTCTGCCACGAAAATATTCCTGAAGTATTCACTTTAGTACTTTTGTGAAACGCCACAGAAATTGGCTGTGCTTAATTTTAACTATAATAATAAAACCTCGTAGGCAAAAATATTGTATAAGTCTATTACAATACACACAGGAATCGTGTGTCGCAAGCTGAAAAGAGCTTTTCGACATAGACTTTGGTTGATCTTTAAATATTGGATTGCAGTCTTGATCTTCTAGAAGAATAAGCAGTTAATTAAATCGAGCGCCAAATCATTATTCAGCAGAAGATTTTTAAAGTTTTAAATGATAGTTACAATAGTTAGTTCGCTGTTATGTTCGCTAGTAACGACACAACGTTCTTTACCTGTCATAGCTGATTGTGTGGCTGCTTAGAGTTCCATGAGATACATAAGACTTCAAATTTTTCATACAATTCAAAAGTAAATAGCAGTTATCTAACTTGTATAGTAAATCCGTTATGATGTATACACTATGCTGTTGCAAGTCGTGGATATAATATAATCTGATTGAGTTTTCCCGATATTTAACTCTGAAAATTAAATCATCTAAATTTAGCACTTTTTTTTTACTATTAGAAGCAGCGGGAATCCGGCCCTTAATGGGTTGGTATCTTCTAAATGACCCTAATTTTATAGCGAGAGGTCAAGCATATTGTCTTGCTGATATTGCATCAAAATCGATGGTTAGTTTTATTGGCCAAGTTTGGATTATATGGACAACATGCAACCTTATAACTTTCCCATATTGCATGTTCTACCTGTAGGAAAAATCACCTTACAAAATTTTAACATGATGGCGCTTCCTAGCTCGATCTAGTTGACAGCGAAAAGTTTTGCAATTTTTATTTGTTTCAAATTACAGTTTCCTGCCACCTTAATAAGAATCCCCGTTATTCACCCTACATTGTTCATGGACACGACACCTAATCCTATATGGTTACCTAACATAGGCCTTAGTTAATTTTTTGCCCCTAATAAATATCGGCAGTCTTAGTTTTCTTTCTTCTATACGTCGCAGCAGAAATCGACTTTTGAAACCTCCTGGCGAAAGTATTGTTGGTGATTTGTTTTATTGTTACCAGCCTTGTCGATAGCGCAGGAACGGAACAAAATTCAGAGTATATTGGGTCCTGAGATATTCTCTATTAATTACGCTGGTATACGTGTGTGTCCACTTTTTACAGGAACAAAATTTGTGTGAGTTCCTGATATGGCGAAGTCCTAGACGTGATCAAGGCTTAGCATTTAGACAAAAATAATTTCTTGTCAAATTTGTTCACGGGAATCGCTTCACTGCGATTCAGTTTAAAATTAAATAACGAAGTGCAGCGTGTCCAACATGAGCGATGTCCGAGTGTATATAATGATGATGACAGACCGAGGTGCGTACAGTGTAAAACGGTTATAGTATAAGGAAGGGGAAAAAATCGCATTCAACAAATATTTCTGTTCCACATATTAACAACATAACTCAGCAGCGGCTAGCACAGATCCTTCACGGTAAAGTTAACGGAAGTTCAAACAAGATGTTGAAACAGTTCGGGAAACCAAAGCAGTAGGTGCACAATTTTCGAATCTTCCAGTATGTCCCAGCCGAAAAGTATTATCCAGATTATCATCTGCTTGATAAGGCAAATTGTGTTTCCAAATTATCAGATAACACTTCGTTATCTAGCGGTGTCAAATCCCTGACATCGGACTCATCCGGCGAAGGGTGTCGTGAACGCGCGAGTTACAACAATATGGAACTTATTTGATACATATTGCGTACGGTTTCACTGATCGCCAATGATCCACAATGTTTTGTGTTGTATGGCTGTTACAGATATTGCGTTACGTCAGAACAGAGTATCGATGTTTTCCTGCGTAGTATGAGTTAACTAGACCATAGAACACAGTAGTATTTGTGATCTTCAATAGTCCCCCAGCCTGCTTACCGCCCGTTTTTAGGTTTTTCATGCTCAGATGATCGAAGTCGTCGAGAATAACGCCTGACGGAAGAACCGAATGTAAAACTCGAAGCCGAAACTCTGGCTCATGTTCTCCAACCTAGTTAGCTATACCTGACGGAGAATTTCATAGTGTTACATATAGTTCGTGTTTACATTCAACTCCGTAAATTTATTTACCACTCGGCCCAGTTCGAATTCGACCAGTTGTTTGGAAGTATTCAATAACTCAACATTGGTACTGTAAAAGTTGTTTTGGTGGTTAGCTTTTTCCAATGGTAAGTGGTAAGGTGTGCGCTTACAGAGACACATGAGGCGATCAAAATTCGGAACGGTATTCACACGGTTCGTTTTGTGCTGGGGGCCTATTGACTGAGTCAATTCGGGCAGGAACGTTGTGTGCCTATCTGGGCTATTGCAAACTATTCTTGTGTTGTTTTTCGAGGTAATTCGCGGAAAACATCTGCCGGTTTATTGCAGCGAACAGAAACTCGCTTTATCGGTGCAAAAAAAACGTTCATAATTCCATTTTCAGCGGAGTTTGCTTTACGGTTCCTCGTGCCATGCATGCATGCCACAGCACATGCCATTACACATCTCACCGTATTCAAAAATCAGGTGACCTATATGAGTATTGACCCCAACTATTACGAGGTAAGAAGACATAAAATTTCGTTTTATATGACAGAAGGCTAAGTACAGCCAAGGGAATCGCTTAGTTCGCACCCATTTAATAGTATATATATAGTATTATTGTAAATGAACAAAAAAAAAGTTAAGTAGTACGGCCTGCATAGCTTCTGGCTTTAAAATCTGAAATTTGGGGAATAACCACTTTTGAACTACTCCGAGCCGTTGTTATTTTGAAAATCGCAGTTGTGAGCGTTGTACATTTTCATCGATCCTCACCACGAATTCTGCCAGCGTATCGTATGTTCCTTCCAATCTGTTTATATAAATGCCCCGCCAATAATGTCAGCGCAAAGAAAGGGAGACTGTTGAGATTATCGAGTCCTATTCTTCGGGGGTACTATGGGTCATTCCTGGCTTATAATCATCGCGTCAACCTTTGCTTCCGTATTACATTTGTCGAACCAATTTTGCAGAGTCTTCCCACGTGCTTCTCCATATTGATGCCACTGCGTTCAGTAAATACCTATCGGGTAAGTTTTCTCATAACGGGATCGTTGGCGAGCATTGGCTTATCGTGCTGGTTTTTCATAGAGGCCTCTACACTCGATCGGCCCAAAGTTCCTTTAAGTTTAGGCTACTGGCTATTTGCTGAAGTTATGTTTTGGATGACTCGACATTTTGAAATACGCTATTTGGAAGAGAGAGAAAATTCAAAGGTGGGTGGTTCCTACTTGCTATTGTTAATCATTAGATATATTGTGTGCGTCCCGGTGATGGTGTACTTGTGCCTAACTACACACTCTAGCCATTGTCCCTTTTCTTTCCTACCGAATTGTAGTCTACAATACTTGCTTATTCGAAAAATATACATTATTATTTTTAGTTTAGTAGAATATCTTCGGCTTTATCATTCAGTACAATGAGGTGGCAGGGTGGTAAAACGCATTTTCGAGACTCTGTCACACGATTTAACCGGACGTATCTTATTGCTAGGTATGATTGGCTTGACATGGTTAAAGGTAGCTTTTTTTTTATTTAGCACAGACATTTGATGTATGTATACGTGTATTGGTTTTATCGGACGGACGGGCACTTGTCTACATAAAAATTGTCTTAAATATGACGTTTTTTCCAGTTCTCATTGTGTTTTCTTCTACCCTTTCATTTGACGTTAGGCGTCCATAGTGAACATGGCTAACTGCGTGCTGGCAATGAACGTTATTGAGAAGTCTTCGTCGACAATTGTAGCCGTCCTCGTTAAACCGTTTATTGTACGCAACGTTATTCATGCTTTACTGCATATGTGAAGCAAATTTTGCCGAGGTTCTGACAGAACTCTCAAAGCTGTGACTCAGAAATGGTTAAGTTGCCACAGTTTAAATTAAATCAATGCGCTGCCTTGTTTTCGCTCGATCAAGACATTGCCTGCAATATAATAAATGCTCAGTATTTCATACGTACAAAGGCGACGGAAAAATCATTACATTTATTTCTTACCATTATTTGAATGTGATTTGCCGATACGTGTGCATGTTTTTGATCACCTTTAGAGTGCGCGTGTATTTCGAAAGGTAACGAAATACATCTGGAGTATAAGATTAAATTCCTCTTAAATGTTTTCGTGTTAACCATATCCAGGAATATTTTGTCACTTTAAGGACAAAACGCTTAATAAATTCTAGGCCCATTGATCGATCGATCTCTCTACAATATATGAGTTACCTCGACGACATATGAGCCGGGTGCCTGAAAGCGATGACCGTTTACAGCTACGGCTCTGAAATCAGGAACCGATAATACGGGCTCGGACGCGAAACGCAAAATTTAGAAAGGTGTATGTGAAAATGTAAAAAAAAAAAACGTAAAATGACACGCAGCATTCACTCCATGTTTACCACCGGCGTTTACCCATCAGTTCCTTGAGAAGAGAATGTAACTGATCGCTTCGGTAAAATGACATTTTCAAAATATGCATGATCTATAGGCTTACTAGGAACTCGCTCTTGTCGACGTGCCCAAGGAAGAGGCGCGTTTGTTCGAACGCGTTGTCATGGTAACCATGTGGAGGGGGAGAGGGTCAAATCTTAGCGATGGCGGGAATCATTACCACTACAGAGTATTATGAAATACGAGAAATTATTGTTAATAGGAAAAAATGAATTGAGTTAATCCCGGAGGGCTGTTAAAGCCTATGACAGCTCCGTATATTTCTCTAGGATACGACAGTATTAGAAGCATAATCGCCTACTACTGGCCACTGTACGCTTAAGCTGGTCTAATAGACAAAGTAGAAAAATATCAGTATTTTTCTGTCTGAAAACGACACAGTGGATGAAAGGATAGAGCGAATATGGCGCAAGCTTAAACGATATTAAAATATATAGTTCTTCACGCGTTTATGGATACGCGTTCATGCTACACGAAGTATACTCACGTACTTACTTCAACATAGATTTATTTATTTATTATTACATCGTTTTCCATAATCATCACTTCTTACGCAGAGTACTTAGGCGGTCACAACAAGATAATAGGCACTTGATATAGTTCGATTTTAATTGTCGTGGTTGAAACGCTCTGTTTTTCCACGTTTCGACATTCTAGTTAATGTCTCCTGACGTTTACTGTTGTTATATTATTATTACATTATAAACCGAGCTGCGTGCATGAACAGGGACGAATGCTCATCGCAAACCGGACATCAAAATACACAAACAGTACAATGATCATAGCTCGAAAAACAAATCAAAAGGAGATCTATAGTGTTCGATACTAGATATAGAAAACATTGGTATTGCTCTTAAAGAATCAATCGACGATACATCATCGATATGATTTGATGCGTTTATGTGATAGAGAGCACTGCAATAATAATGGTGACGATAGTTAGTCGACGGCTAAAGCGATCCATCGCGGTGATTGCACAGGAATCAATGTCGTCCAATGAACTCGCGGCATTCCAGCTCACAATAAATAGATAATAAACTTACAATAAATTAATTAAAAAAAAAAACTTACAATAAATAAGTGATGAACTGAAGCTTGTAAAGACCGCGTGTGTGTGCGTCATCCAAAGAGAGTCGGTCAAACATTTGCAATAAACATTGAGATAGATAAGTAGCATGCGCTGGATAGCTACAAACACTTCATTTGAAATGTACAGGTTCGCCTGCTTGGTTATGAGAATGGTGAAACTGATCTTTTTCGAAGTTTTATAGCTAGGGAGAAAAATGCGCTAGTCGTCATGTAGATCAGGCGCAGGTAAGTTATTTTGGACGGGCAGTGGTGAATCAACGTCTCTACATAATGTTGGCTTCATGGCATATGTTTGTTTCGGTGTTATATATCTACAAGCGGGTTTATAGGGCATACTCGTATATCAAGGTATATTATAGCAGAATTCGTCGAGAGTGTATTGTCAACCTGCATAGTATGTTTGATTACCAGGTGATAAGACACGATCATTAAGTTTAGGTAATCACCTATCCTTATATTAAGTACCATTATTTTTTTACCGATGATGCGGGCTGCATCTAAGCAGATGTAACGCTACAAACACTTTCGGTACTTGTACAATTTTTCTAACAAGATACAAAAAAGAAATATACGAGAAAATCGATTAACCAAAGCTAGGATAACACTGCAAACCAAAAAAATCAATGTAAAATTATTAAAAAAAAAAAAAGTTCAGTGGAGCGCAATCGCGTTCAGTATGGTTAACAGCTTAATATATATTTGTATATAGAAATAGTCAACCTTTCATTGATTTAATTACGCCTAACAATGACACACGTTAATCCTGCCCGTTGCACCGACCTGTACATACAGATGTACCTATATGAAACGCTACTATGCAGAAGAGGGTCTATTGCATCACGAGCGGGGGTATACACATGTTGTTTCATCCTCACAGACACGAGGTAAAAGTGAGGATGGTCAGCTCCCCCCGGGGGAAATTGACCACCCCAGTATCAGTGCCAATACAACTAAAACTCCATAACCTCCAGACGCGCTATTTTGCGTTGGCGGTTAACAAATTGTATTAGACGTAGGGCGATATCGCGATGGAGGCCAAAAAACCCGCGAAAAACTAACATATTTGTTTCCCTAAAACTGTTTGCTAACGTTAGACAAAAAGCATAGCCGCGACAAACGCTGCCGTGAGCATTGTTGGAAGGGCGAAGATAAGTCCGCCTAATGTTTGCAGTACACGGAATAAAGAGTTCGGGAACATCTGAATCAGCGAGCCAAATGGACTCAGGAGAGCTGGCACCTGTGAAATCGGCCGATTACCAAACTGTGATTCGGCGGCGGCTGCCCATGGCTTGATCGTGGTATTCTCAGGCCAGTTTGAGATTGTCGTTTCCCCGTCGGACGTGTTTAGCATGGTTTTCAGTGGTTTTTGAAGTTTCTTTGCGGAGGTAAAGCTCGGCGATGGCGTACTGATGACGGCAGGTACCTTTGAAGCGGCTTTTGGCGGCGGCTTCGTTCGAATCGATGATGGTCGACTTTGCGACAGGCGATTGGCCATTGCAACTTCCTCGGAGTCTTCCCAATTAATTGGCTTTATAGTGACCTCTTGCCAATGATCCGACTTGCGGTCAGGCATTGGACTGGTCAGAGATGTCGGATCGTATTTCTGAGTAGTTCGAACCGTGTAGGGACGAGTAGGTTTTGCGATGGTTATTATATTTTGGTGAACGATGGTTGTGTTATAGGCGTCCGTATCGAAAACCTCTAGGGGAAATGCATTTGAAGTTGGTGGCAGCGCCGTTGTTGTGGGATATCTCAACGCTTCCGACTGACTGTGCGCAATACCTTCGAAGGAGCCCGCGGATGGTGATGACGATGATGATGATAGAGCTTCCGAACTGGGTCGTCTCGTCGTGGACGTCGTGGTTGTACGCCTAAGTTTCAAGCCGTTCTGGGAAGGCGCCCTATGGTTGTTGATAACGACAGAATGGCCGAATCCAAACGAATGAGTCGGCTTCCTCGTGGTCAGCACCCACAGTGGCAGCTCCTCGGAGCGGGCGGTTTCGTCAGATGAGGAGTGCAATAACGGTTTTGCTGTTCCTCTTTTGAGCAGGCCGCTTCCAGTAGTCGAGCCTCTTACTAGGAACACTTGATGCGTTACCTCCTCGGAGCTATCGGCGGTGGGCACCAATTTTGTGGATGAAGAAGATACCGTCTCTGCCGAAACAGGGATTTCCTCACTCGATGTGGTAGCCATTTCAGAATTACCCGCGTCGAAATCCGCTCTGGAGCTGCTTGACCCAAGGGTTGAAGATCCAATTGTAGCCAGTTTGGCCAACACCACATCATTCTGCGATGTTTCGGTTGATTCGTCTGCATACCACGTCGTCGGTGTGTAGCCGACTCTACGTCCTTTGGTATCGTTAACGATCTTAGCGTCGATCAAGGAAACGTTGGCCGTCCTCCAATCGATTTCATCTGAGGGCTTCTTCTTCGGTGGCGTTGGACTATACAAAGCGCCATTTGTCAACAGATTTAACAGATTTGAAGTCGACCACGGTCTCAACAGGTTTGGTATCCCTGTAGTTCGACCGTCAGACAGAGGCTTTTTGGTTGCCGAACCAAACGCAGCAGGTAACAAAGCCGAGGCAATTATCCTGTTGGCCGCCGCTGCATCTGCTGTTGATGATGCTGTTGTAGCTGTTTTTGCCGTTGTTGAATTCGATGATTGTCTCATGACAACAGGTTTGTTTTTACTAAAACCTGTCAACTTTGGAATAGGCGTTGTTTTATCTTTGCTAAGTGCCTGTCCCTTTACAGGTTTGACCTTCGTTGAAGAGTTCTTTTTCAGCACATCCTTATCTTCATGATTGTTCTCTAAGGCCGACCGGAATCGCGTTAAGTCGGCCCTCTTCTGGGCCTGAATGGCCCGACTTCCATTGATGCGAGTTCTCATATCTAGGTAGTGTTTGAGTACCACTTCGGCGCCATTGATCAACTGTTCCAATCTCAATTTATTCTTTAAAGTCGTTGGACTTATTGTAGCTGTTGTCCTCTTAGGATCCGGAACTTGGGTATTAGAGCCCGATTTTTGCGACTTCGCTTGCTGCCGCTTTTCTTGCTGCTGCAGGACCTTATGTAATGCTATCTTCGCCCCACTGTTGAGTATCTTCAGTAAAGGTTTTTTGATTTCTTCGAGATTTCGTTGTAGTTGCTCACGCTGGGTCTGTCGGTCTTTACTCCCCTGCCGTAGTTCAATGTCAGGCAGTCTCTGAGGTTTACCGTGAGCCTGGGGAGCCGTGAAAACCAAGTTCGGGTTTGCTGCAGGCATCGCAGGCACCGTAGGCCCAACGTACATCGGCTGTGCCACTACGGGACGCACGAATGGCCGGACACCGAGCGGCCGAATTGGACGTAGTGGCCGCAGGGGCCGGCGTATAATAACGGGTCGTGCGGCATACGTTGCATACTGCGAGGACCCCCCCGGAACTGGAGCAGCGGCGGAGTATGGTGGGACTAAAATTTGTGGCCTAATTGGCCGTCGTATAACGATTGGCCTTCGGAAAGCGAAAGGTCTGATGAATTTGGCCTCTGGCTGCTTCACACCCTGAAATCATGAATCGCGCAAGACAAAGACAGCAGGAATACAAGAGCAATTAATTAATTCATTTGTAAAATAATCACAGTGAGTGCAGAAATATTTGGCCTGAGAAAGAGCTAAAACAAGAAAGAAGCACACCATATTTTTACTGAGTGTAAAGGCGGATTAAAGCGTCTTACATTTGTACCGTGTATGTTGCCGATAAACAATTCATTTTAGAAGAGCTAGAGACATATATTGGTGTTCTTCATGTTAATTCATTATCAAAAGCCATTTGCACTAGGGCACAGAAGAAACAAGGCTCTTGCTAGGCAAATATAGGCATGTATGCTCACTTCTTGATCAGGACGTCGCTGCAAGTATGATAGTTGTAGTTGACGGTGTCGGCTGACGCCATGAGGAAGCGAAGGAACTCCAGGCTGGAACAAAATGACAAGATTTACATTTATCCTAGGCAATATTATGCTGAAATTGACTTTGGATCTAAACGCTATTGAAGAACTTTTTAGCGTTTCTCTTCTCTTCATGCCTACTATTTAAAGTACGTCGACAAAAAGGTTGAATGCATCTATTTACATACACGTATATGAGAGTTGATCATTTATAAGGCAATGACTTCAAGTGCAGTTGACTGAGGGTGTTTCCTTGAGATCTTTGTCAGGCTGTCAGATGTTGTCCAAATTAGGATTAATATAATTGGAACACGTTGCTACAAGGAAACTGGGTTCAACCGACGGGAACGATCCATGCAGTGAAGCTGCTCTGGCAATTATATATATATATATAATACAAGAGCTCTATATATAGAATCGATGACTTTCGTTTATATTATTATTAAGATATTACTTGATTTTGTTTCTGTATCTTGAGATTATCGCTTTGACGTTCAGTGGCAGATTTTAAGTAGAGAGGAGAAAAAAACTTGAAAACGATAACTAAATACGGTTAAACTGCACTGCGAGATATAATTGAGAATAGAGTTATTAAGTAAATAGTATATAAATTCAGAACAGCTCTTCCAACGTTATTCTGAAATCTAGAAAACATAGAAAACATACTACTATTTCTTATTACCTGGACCTATTGTTACAATCAAAGGCAGTACGTTAAATCTATACACATACCAAGATTTTTAACAAAAACAACAAGATAATTCACAGGTTGAATAAGTCGAGTAACTTAAATACGTAAATATGAAGGCGAAATTTGCAGCGGCATATGGTGGTCTAGCGGTAAGGACTACTCGGAGCATCTGCTTGGGGTCGCCCTACTGGCTTCGACATGTTATTCCGTGATCTTAACCGAAACTGTGAACACTCATTCAATCTTAGATCATTCGCTTACTGTTTAATACGTCTTTTTTTCCGTTAAACAGGTGTCACCTGAAGTCGAGCAAACTACCAGGCCTAAGTCTGGAACGTTCGTAAACCACATTTTTGCCCCGGGGCGTACAGTCAACTATCGTTGAGGCTGCGACATGTATTTACCGACCGCTGTCGGCCCGTTTGAATCGACCTATAAGCGGATGCTCGCAGGAGTATGTATGGTACACCCTACAACAGTTTTACAGCGTTTTCAACTGTAGATCCACTTCTGAGCCAATTGGGGCAGCCGATATAATCTCTATTTTTGAACACCATAACTGGCAGTAGTCTATAGAGTTGTCGGAAGATATCGTATACCATATTTGGCTAGTTATTATCAAGAGAAAGGTTTCTATATACTAATTATTTTCGGGTGTGTTACGGAGGGGGCGCAGAGGCATAAACAGGCGCTCCGTCGATAAATTTAATTGTCAAAAACTTCTTCACAGTGTGAATAATAAAGACATTGCTTTTGTGTTATTAATCGCACCCTGTGCTCAAAATCTTGGGCTGATCCCATATTTTGTCGTCACGTCTATCTAGAATTAACACGAAATAATTGTTGATTTCGTCTCTACAAACCTGCAGTTGTGCTGTAGAAAGATAGAAGACCAAGGAAAGACCAAAGGTGCAAAGTAGGAACATGTTGAAAGCTGAAATAGAAGAACCCAAAGCAAATACGTACATATTTACGGTTAGCGGCATAATAAAGGTGTTCAACGCGCGGCTGACACTTAGTATTTACTCTAGGTATACTGGATCTAAACCGCGCCGGCACTTCTCAACTTAGCTAAGTAATATGGTAACTAAATGGTTGAAAATGTTTTCTGTTTCAAAGTCTTCATTTTACATTTCTCCAAATTGGTGGAGAATAAAATATGATAGAAATGATAGCAAACAACCATAAATTATCTTTTCAAACTGTTAAGAGTCCTGTGTATGTATAAAAAGCTGTAAAACATCAACTTTGTATTCCTTTTGCACAATTATTACGTTATACGCTTGTCCTCAGGACCAACGTTGTTTTAATGGGTGCCCATAATATATTTTGACGTTTTTTTAAAATAGATTATATTGAAACTAGAAAATATAATTCAACTGACACTTGAGGGATATTCTATTCGTAAGCTCTCTAAATTGTATCTTTAGTTTTTATTTTTACATAAAATGTCTTATATAGCTGGAACTAGTTATTAAGTGGCCTACATGTCGTCCTTAAAGAGAGGTCGTGAATTTTTTTGTGTTTTATCATTTTTATCTTATATTACGGGAGACGCCTTATCTGGGCAACTGGGCAACAGAGACCCGGGGCAGAAGCGTGTAATTAGGTTCCGGTTTATGCTTTAGCATATTAGCCCAGTACAGGAGTGTGTACTATGGGGTACTACCATTCCTCTGATTATTGCTACCCTAGATAGCTCTAAAGTCGCCCCTAGCCCGCTGAATAGCTGCACACGGGACAAAGTCTTTCGGGTTCATTTGACTAGGATTGATTACGAACGTTTCGAGTTTTACGTCCCGTGCTGGCATGAAGGATTGAAGTTGACTAAAGTCTGTTAGTAACGCGACAACAGGGCACAGGAGCAGGATCCTAATGGCATCGACATTGGTGAAGGTAGATGGAGGTTCGGTAATTGAAACTTGAAAAACTGCTTCAAGGAGAAGCTTCTAGCAAACAAACCAACGCAAAAATGACGATTCCTCGAGAAGTAGCCGTCAGCTTTTCTGTTCGACATTGAAAAGGCAAATGCAGTATGGTGTTTTTTTACGGACATCTTCTTTTAGGAAGAAAGGAGGCACACAGTTTACGATTTTGGATGGCCAGTACTTCGCTTAAACGTATGGTCATCGAATTTGTTTGTCAGGTAGCTGGTTTGATGAGAGTGTCGAGATTTTGTGGCCCCAGTCCAGTGGCAACTTTCGAAGAACGCGCTCCCGCATAACAACGGAGTGCTTTCGGATAGGGTGATGACCATGATCCCCGCTGTTGACAACTAGCGTCTTATGAAAGCTGGCTAATTATACGACATTGGCAATTATTGTATTGAGAAAGGCCTGGGCAGGTCGAATTTAAAACTGCATTAGTTCTAAATATATCGGATGGGTATAGGTGTATTATATAAAAAAAAACGTAAAGTTAGTATAAGGAAAAATAAAGTTAAGTTGTGATCGCAGTCGAGTCTTCAATAGTAATCATAATAATGGTAATAAGAATTAGCCATTATTACGATATGTACTTTCGGAAGGAAGGAAATTTAGCCAAAAGAAGCCTGTAATTTGCTGTGATGGCATCTCATTAGAAGGTTGGTTCATAGCCTAAACTTGGAATTTAGAGGTAAGTATTATAACTTATCTGTCTAAACCAAAGGAAAATAATGTTGAAACTGGATTATTATCGAATTGCATGTTGACGCTTTACCATAAACAACTTCTTATGCCTGATGGCTTGATAGAGAGTGCACGCGGACACGTCCGAAAAGATCGAAAGGGTGGATAATGCTTATCACGTCACTCGATCGGGAGAGTGCCCACCATTTCGCTTCGTTGGAACAAGGGCAATATTAGTTCTGGCCCGTAGAGTTGCTTCACACTCGCCAAAGAACACGACGGCTTTCGCACACTCTCGGCACGCAAAAGTTGATGCACGACTTCCCCTCCCCGATTTCAGTAGTCATCTATGCTTAGTAATGGTGAATTAGAGCGCAAGAAGAAAACCTGTTATTTCAACAATTTAGGATTCGCTTTATAGTTGTGCTTGCGTGTTAACGTTCGCTCACAACAAATAGTGACAAAGCAAACAAAAAATTATCTACGATCATTTGATAGATGGATGGATGGACGACATTCAGTTAGGATTTTGATAACAGATCTGTAGCTACGATCTTACAGTGTCAAACGTATCTGACGTTGTAATCCGGCCGTGATAGAAATTGGCATGGTGTGACGGACGCGCAGGGCTGACCAATAAAAGCGTTTTCAAGTAGCCTTTTGCCACTACAAATAGGAACCAAGCCAATTGACTCGTAACGGCCGTTCTGTTCCTGCTTATTTGTAACAAGGCGAAACAATTAATGCGAAGTCCTCACTCTCATAGCTATTATTCGTGGGTGCTTTGGAGAGGGTGCCTTAACAAAATCTCAAGTACACTTGCTAATCTGCCAGGACTCCACACGTTGCCATCCTATGATCTTGAGCCAACTCCCGTAACAGCACTATGCGTGAATTTGCCAATACAAATTGTTACAAAAGCCCTATCGTCTATTCTGGATATCCCATTTATTGCTTTTATTCACTACCATTGTTTTTGGTACTATGAGATTCGAACAGCCTCCACCGTATCTATTCGGTTAGGGGCTACCCCTTTTGCCCAGTTTTGCTCCAGCTGTAGCATGGTGTAGTATGGTATGGCACGGTACGGGGTGTACGTTTGGTGGCTGGATGTTCAGCTGGGTGCCGACCTCCGTCTCCAATTCCGCCATCGCGCTCCATCTGGCCACGAAACGGCAGAAACGAAAGGACGTCGCTCGTGCAAGACCAAAGGAGCGAACGGAGGACCCTTTGAAGCAGGAGGGTGGCAGTTGCTGCCTCCCTAGTTTGCCTGGACACTAAGCCGGGTAGGCCGGGTGGGTGGAGGCCTGCTACTCGGCCTATCTAGCTAGCTAGTAATAGATAGTAGTAATGGTTCCAGGCATCGAATGTGTGCGAAGAGGTGGCGAGAAGTAAGTGCTGGCTCGAGGCCTTCGTACCCCCGAAGGCAAAGAAGTATCGGAGCGGAGGAGGTATACGCAGTTGAATGGCAGGTTACGAAGAGCCGCAGCAGGGTAAAGTTCAGACAAGGAAGCGAGAGACTTTGGCTACGAAGAGGGGAACAGATACAAGCATAGGCGGTAGAGTTCCCCCGGTGGATAACCATGAGCACCGCGAGTAGGAAATGAACCGAGGGATCCGCCCGATCATCGTAGAGCGTTGCTGTAAGCATCGGCAGCAGCGGAGGCTGGCTGCTGCCGCAAGCCTAGATAGAGGCGTACCAGCTTGTCTGGCTGTCTGTCTTTCTCTTCAGAGGGTGATTCAATCTCGTGGCGAAAAGCAGGGGGAGATCTGCTGGCGGAAGAGAAGGTGCTGGTAACGAAGAGGGACGCTGTAAAAGCTCACGACGTCTGTGACGGCTGCGCAGGTTACGAAGAGTGAAACATCATGACTAGCGAGAGCGGGACCGCATGGTTACGAAGAGGGGACCAAAGCTTCGTTTGTTCGCGAAAGAGCCGAAAGAGCAGGTCAGTACCAACTCAAAGGTCCTGATAGGGGAAGACTCGACGGACATGCTCTGTTGTTAAGGCTAAATGCAGTATGACAATGAAAGTAAAAGTAAAATTTAAAACTGAATTGGATAAAGTTTTTCTTCCGCAACTACAAAGCTAGCTCGTTCTACTTTATTTACTATAAACTATGAAGTTAGACTTCGTGACAATTTTTCTGGAAGGCGAAAGTACCAGCAACATGCAACGAAACAGACAACAAGACATAAAGGGAAAAGAAAGCTGAACGGTAGATATGGACGTGGCCAGCCAGACGAAACAGTTTCGGCCAGTGGAGAAGCGTCAGCGGCCACGAAGGCAAAGAGATGTCGCGTAATTTGACGGAGCGCGAAAGCGAGTCCCCACTCGCTTCTTGGGCGCGATACGAAGGGACGACCATCAAGGCCACCGCATGGCCGTGTCAATGGTTACGAAGGGTGCAGCCGGGTGGCGGAGGACGAGCCAAGAGCGTGTAAGAGGCCTTGGACACAAGGCCAAACAAATCGAATTGGATAGCAGCAGAAGTGGCTGCGATAGTGGTGATAACATACTGTTAATAGATAGATGTTATAGGCTGTACGTTATAACTGCCAATGCCACACTTCATATATGATAACCAGGAGAAATGGAAAAATGTACGGGCAGGCAACGAAAATGGCATTGGGTGTTTGCTGAAAAAGGAAATAGGACGAGAAAAAACTGGTGCCATTTCTGTTGAATATTTAGAGGATGAAAGATGATACGATGTTGTTCGATTGAAATGGAGATACTGAAGATATAACAGTAATATAGTAGTAATAATAATAGTATTTATATAATTAAAAAAAAACGGATCGAAGAAGCCAAGAGAAGAAATACGTAATGGGTGAATGGTAAGAGTCGCTAGAAGGTTAACTCTGCACACACGTTTTCTCGTCAGGTTATAACTAGAGGACACAATATAGGATTGTAATTTTGCAGGGAGCGTAGTCGGAACATACCGAAGATAAAACGTGAAGCGTGTACGTTATTGTATCCTAATCTATTCCCTGTAGCGAAATATGGCTGCGGTTTGATATCTACGATCCGGTGCGTCGCCTGCTGCTGACCTTCACCGATCACATGCAGATATACTTTTCCGTTGTTGTTTATTATTATCGTAGTGTGATTAATAGCAGACAATATGATAAAATGAACCTCATGCTGTGAACCGATCAATTTTAAGGTTGCTGTGACGTTCTTTGTAAATCGGATTAGGTTCTTTTAAATGGCCGTACAGATTTTGGTTCACAGATCTCAAACCGTATCCTGGTCGTTCAGGAGGACGGAAACAAGTGAGATGTTTATGTAAAAAAAACTCGGTCCATTAAGAATCTGTA